TGAAAAGGATGAATGTTAACTGGAAAGAACTGGAAGTGATTGCCTAGGACAGGGTTGGATGGGGAATGCTGGTGTGCGGCCTATGCTCCTCCACGAGGGGTAACAGGCGTAATTAAGTAAGTTCCATAAACAAATTGTTTTTGCATGAGTTACATACAACCTATGGTTAATAATTTACACAAAACAAATCCTTCAATCACATATTTAGTTGAATTGTAACTGAGCTGCAACTTATCAAGCTTTTACACTAAATAGAGCTAACAACAATATCCAAACATAATGGAACTCAATGCAAATCAAATTGATATGTGGTTAAATGATCTACAGAGTATTTCTAAACTCTTGTGAAGCACCTAAAATCTAGTCACAATCACTAAATTCCGACTTTTTGATGTGATTACAATTTTAAAAAGAATGAAATCTCTTTTCTTTTTAATTGGCATTATTTAATTTGTAGTGTCTTTGCTTCGCTAATCGTTCACCTCGATAACCGTTATAATATAAATCTCAACGGTGTTTGGAATCAGAAGGCAAAGAGAACCGTTAACTGCAATTTATTAGCGGATAGCACAGATCACAAAGCTATAGGCTCATCAAACGAATTTGGCGCAGAAAGGCGAATAAGTACGTGCGAGCAATTACATAGGTAAATTTATAGTCACACTGCATAAGGGAACATCAAGGCAAAGCAAATGCTAATAATAGGATTTGAGTACATTTATACATGAGGAGGAGGATGAGTCATCATGATAACTAATCAACCAACATTTTAGCTAGAGTTTGTCATATACTCTAGTGATCATAGCGGTACAAAGAATTGTGAGAATTGTTACTATTCTAATAACATTGTCTGTTAAGTAAATTATTAAAAAGGCTTAACCAAAACTAACCATAATCGAAATCGATTGTACTATAGTTACTATAAATTGAACACGTACTTTGTAATAGCCTTTGCAAATATATTATTATTTATAATCGATGGTGAAAGAGTCATCACAACAGGACGAAACAGCCGTCCACTGCTTCCACGTTTTCCATGGTGGTATAGCTTCAATTGACTCATGAATTCAACTGTAAAATTACTAAAATCTCCACAAAACCCTCTTCTGAGAATATTTATATAATATATGTTTGTGAACTGTTTACATTAAGTTTAATTATTATTGGTGATATAATCACAAATTTATATTAGTATTACTTCTGAATAGGTAATAACCCTAAATAGGTAAGGATATTCTCGGTCAAGCAAAAAAACTATATTATGGTACAGTGAATATGAAGATATTTTTGCCCGTTTTATTTTTTTTTACAGTCAACTAAAGAGTCTCCTAATTTTAATCCGATTTATATGGATCATAAAATAAGCTTTATTTAATAAGCAAAAAAATAATAGAGAGTTCATTGTTTGCTTGTTTGTTTTTCAGTAGAAGTCTTAGTAATTAGAAAATGTATAACTATGTGATCATAACACACCATAAATTAATCCAACTCTGCTCCTAACGCGATTAGAAAAAAAACAAACAAACCAAAAAAACATTCCTATCATAGTGACAAATTGATTTTGGCTGAAATCACAAACGAGGTCAATTTAGGTTTGTATATAAAATAAACATATGAAAATATAATTATTTTTCCGTAAAATGCATTTATCGTTAAAGACCATGGTGAATTTTATAATTGAATTCATGAGTCGGCTCAGTGGTCTAGAGGTCCTGGGTTCGAATCCAGCGTGGTGGGATCGCGGGCGCGCACTTCTAAGGAGTCGCTTACTATGATGAAACGGCTATCATGTGCTCCTAGGTTTTCCATGATGGTCTCAACTATTAAATTAATATAAATATGTTTTAGTGAAGTATTCACGTTAATTTCATTTTTCTTTGAACGTTTATTAACAAACGTTTTTGAAAAAAAGTCGAAAAGATTATTATTTTAAAAATTATTATGCTTAAGGGTTAGAAAAAAACTATTTATAGATTAATTCTTCAGTATTGTAGTTAAAACTTTGGATGAGGAAGTTTTAACAGGATTTCATTGACTGATGTACATTAATAAACTTTATAATGGGAAACAGAAATAAGGTCTTGTTGCCCTCCAATGTATATTTATGAATATGTGTCTACGAAAGACAAATATTTCTGTCATCATACCGCTTTTTTTTGGTTGTTTTCTTAAGAAGTAAACTTATATTTGTACATTAAATTTGAGAAAAAATTACTTCCTAGTGAGAAGTTAGTACGATATGGTATATTACGATTGATTTGTAACGTAACTCGTCTGAACTACTACTAACAGTATTTATATAAACCGCCTGCATATTAAAGAAATGATTCTTCAATCTGTAACTTATTAAAATAATTTTTATCCTCACTGTGTTTCATAAAATGTGAATATTGTTGTATGAACCGCTAGTACTCAGCAAACTCTGACATTCATTTGTGCAGCAACACGTATATACTATGAAAATCATATGGAGACTGAGTGTAAGTATTGCTCTGATACTTAGACAATAAATTTTTAAATATTACATTTTAATGTTTTGCATTCAGTTCCATAGAGTATTTAAATAGAAGATGATTACTTTTTTTAAAATCGGTTATGGTTTTCATTTACTTTTTGACTATAAATCACCTATTGGAATGTCAGAAATAATTCGGATATGAATATAATTACTGTTATACTTTGTGACTTTGTGTCCTATTAATATATAACGTAGTGATACCGCTAGTTAGAGAATGGTGACCTACTAGCCGGACCAATGACGAATAAACTCTTACGAGCCGCTTAAAGTATTTATCAATACTATCTTCCTTCCTAGCCCTGACTGTTGAGTTCATAACACCAATCTCAGCCTCCGCGATATAAATCATGTTTATACGGTTTGGTTTACATACAAACCCGACAGACAACATCACACCACAAAACAGAAAACAACACTTGTACAAGATCTCGACAAAAGTGGCTGTGAATGTGAGAGACTGCAATTAATAGACTGAGCATAACTCGAGAACATTAAATCGTATAATAATAGTCTATAGGTCGAAATAAAGCTTATAATACGTGAAAAATGAATATACATAGTTTAGTTACTTAACATTATACAGTAAAAATGTATATATAATGTTAGTTCATAAATGAATCCCAACAAAAACCATTCATTATTCTTGTTGGGATATATCAATTACAATCACGTTTGGAAACCTATTTCAAAGAGCGCAATGGTGAAGTGTACAAGAACACGCGTAGGGACAATCGAATGTATTGTAGCACAACATTACAGAACATCACATTAAATATGAGAACCATATAGTGAACAGTTGATTTGCAAAATAACAATCAATTGTCTCAATTTGACTGTTTCTTCTGCAAATATCTGTCCATAGTCTCTGATTATAATTGTTCATTCATTTTCGTACCAATTGCGGGCCGTTCCCGTTCTCTCCTTATCGATCTTCTACTGAAATACATTCAATGCCCAACCATCACTATATACTACTTATGTGGATATCAGTAACCCACACCACAATGGCTATTCATAGAGAACTAAAATTGTAGCTTGAAAATATCTGGTTATTGCATCAGAATATTGATTGTAACCAAAATAAATTAGACAACATATATAGTTCAATTTTCTCAGCCTTTCATAAGTTTTAGTCATGTCTAATTTTTACATTTATATCAAAATGATTACATTTTCAAATAAATTAAGTTTTATCCAAATAACTGCATTCTAACTGATTAAATGCATTGCGTTGTTCAAATAGCTATAAATTACTTAAGCTTCCTCGTTTCTCAAGTTTGGTAAATTCATTAATAGGCGTCATAATTATTTCTCAACAAAACAAACAGACATTGATATTAGTTAATAGTATTGTTTTAAGTTAAGGGTGAAATTTTTCTAGCAGTCACCAGCCTATTAAATACTAGGAATACCAAGATGTTGAATTTCATGGTAACCTGTCAATGGTTAATAATAGTGATAACTGTCATCAGACAAAACAAAAATATTTTCCACATTTACAAAAATAGATAAATTGCACGGTAGTTTCGAACCTACTAACAAAAATGTTGTTAAATTCACTTGGTATTATTTATTTGGATCTTCCCATTGATGTTTAGAACTGCAATCGATCAGTCTCTTGTTGGCATATGTTCATACTGCGCGGATTGCTTCGATATTTTCTTAAGTCACAAGCATTATAATCAAAGATGGATAGTGGCTGGCAGTGGAATCCAGGACGCGCATTTCGTTCTATTTGGGACTCGTCAGCTGGATGTATCTGCATCTCAGAGTTGTTCACTCAGTAGCTGAGTAGAAAACGCTATGGCGATTAAAGCAAACAGTACCAGATTCGATCTCCGGAGTGAACATCAACTCTGGGACGCAGTTGCACTCAGCTGATGAGTCTCAAATAGAACGAAACGCACGTTCTGGATTCCACTGCTAACCACCATCCATGTTTGCTTATAAAAATGTTGTTAGTTTTAAGTTTATTTGGTTCTTAGTCAAAGGGAGAATATGAAGGACTCGTCTTTCTTTTCACTTTGAGCTCGTTATGTGGTTCAAACTGCATCCCACTGTTGATGTTTATATTGATGCTCACATCTTGTGGAATTTATTTCAAATAGCGAAATGTTATCTAGCAAGTCATGTATAGATAATCAATTGTTCCACCAGTATAAAATTATTATTAAATTTGTGCATTCTGATATTCTGGACTAAGAATGACCAGTCTGTATTGAGATGCACGCGTTCTGAGCTAATTCCCTATATGTTGCATTTTAATTGTCGGTTTTAATAAAATCTACACTATTGATCATATATACCGAAACATAAAATATCTGTTAAATTAAACAATAAATGTATTTATTATGGAATGTATACTACTTATATTCACTGAAAAGTAGATAAAAATATTAAGCTAAAATTGCGTTGACTGAAGTGTTACAATAAGTTCGTTCATTATCAACATATTAGAATTATATAGAAATAATATAAACCATTATGGCTCCAACTCTAATAACAATTCATTTAAGCTCTTATTAATGTGTGTAATCACTTTTCTCATCACATGTACATAAATTATTTTGGTTTGATTCACTTGTTGAGGTGCATCGAAATTTATCGGGTATAATAAGCACGGAAGTGTTAATTGTAACTGCTGCCATTTGATACATTTTCGGCATGATCGTTCAGCTTTCAAGTCATCTTCTTCATTATCCGTTTGAGTTGAAATTGTAGAATGGTTATTTGCTACATAGATATTTGATAATAATGGATCAACTAAATGATCAATGATCTTTTTATCAAGCAATGAATCAGTTGTATTCTCAACATTATTGAAATCATGATCATGATGATAATGACCATGACTATCCAGATCATGAATAAGCGACTGATCGGTATTCATAGGAGTCGGTTCAAGTGAACTATTGTTTGGTATATTTTCGGGTATTCTGTTCGCGTCGTTATGAAATGTTCTATTTTCATCTAATGAAATGAAAAGAGACGGAATTATATTCATAGTTGAAATTTATAGTGGACTAATAAAATGAGGCATATTCAAGACACCTTATTTATTTGGAATATGAACGAAAGTTCCTTGCATGTTATTGAATTTTAGAGATTTGTTTTATTTTGACCATTCGTTTTTAAGCCATTGTTCTCAAGATATATAAAACTTATCTATTGTTCTTCAGATATCCAAAACTTGATGTAATGAAACCTGACTATCAGTTGGTTGTGTAGTAATAAACACATACACTTCGGTAGTATATATCGTTTTCTAAATTGTAGCTTTAAAAAGCCAATGATAGTCAATTTGTCTACTTGACTTTTAAAAGTTTAAAAATATTAAATATTTCCTTAACTAATTTTTTCATAGTAGAAAGCATGAGTCAATTGAAGCTAGACCACCATCGAAAACCTGGAAACACTGGACGACCGATTCGTCTTATTACGGAACTCCTCAGCAGTGCGCGTCCACGAACCCGCTCTCGCGAGATTCGAACCCAGGACCCACCACTCTCGAGCCGAAGCCCTTAACCGATAGACCACTGAGTTGGCATCCAACGGTGTTAATGTCTAACTTCAACTGATCCACGAAGTTGAGCAACCATTCACCAATTATCTTCAGTGAGTTCCTATCTCACAACAGATGTGGTTTTGAACTCCACTGGTCACTGCTTCTCACTAGACCTCCTAGATATACTTCTCGAATTCACTAGTGAGCATATAATTATATTAATTATCAGAAGGGGGTTTGTGGAGATTTAGTATTTTCCATGGTGGTCTAGCTTCAATTGACTCATGCTTTCTACAATGAAAAATACTAAATCTCCACAAAACCCCTTCTAATAATTAACTAATTTTGTTTAGTATCTAAGTTCACAATGTACTTGTCTTTGAAGCAAAGTTTTTATTTGTTGTACCTCATTACTATTTACTGACTGTAAAGTAAAATAAATGTGGATTGGGCACACTTTGAGAAAATCACTCATTTGCGTCACAAGACAAGCCCTCACATGGAATCCTGAAAGTCAAAGGAGAAGAGGAAGACCAAAGAATACATTACGCCGAGAAATGAAGACAGATTGTAGAATAATGAACAAGAATTGGATAGAACTAGAAAGGAAGGCTCAGGACAGAGTGGGTTGGAGAATACTGGTCGGCGGCTTATGCTCCATTGGGAGTAACAGGCGTAAGTAAGTAAGTAAAGTAAAATAAATATTTGGCATATGCCGAGTGAAATATTTCATTGGATTGAAATTCACCAAAGACAGTGAATAATAAATAGCATTATTCTTTAACCTAAATAAAAATAGACAATTATTAGATAAAAATTGACAACATACAATATACGTAATCACCCAGCAACCTTTAAATAAAATTAAGGTTCCTCACGTAATACAGACCTTACAAAGCCACTTATCTGAGAAAGTTTCACGTTTATTTTTGATTGTGATAATTTCAAAAATACACAAAAATATTCAGAAAATATACTATCTTATAATCCGAATGATTCATATGATCAGAACAACCATTCGAGTAAAAAGTGCATTCCAAATTGGATGAGAAATAAAAGTACAACTTTGTCAACAAATGTCAGAAGGACATAAGATGTATTTTTCATGTCCCTGTTTGTAAAATTAGGTAAGAATTCAATACATGCTTAGATACAAACTGTCATATTAAAGTTTTTATTTCAATATTGGTTTCATATGGTCTTGTCTTTCTTACTGCTTTCCTACCTGGCTCTAATCCATTAAAGGATCACTTTAAATTTTAATAACTAACCTTAAGTAAATGATATATAGATTCAAAGGACTATTTGATTAAGATTAATTTTCATTAAACAATGTATCTGCGGTCATTGTACTTGCGAATGCAAATAACATAACCACATGTGTGACATAGTAATATAATTCAATAGTTCAGTAGTTCTGCCATGCTGAATTAGTCTAGGTAACACGGATTTCACTAATGCTAACTATACTTACAGTTGTTTTATTGACGACTATCTCAAAGTACATTGATATTTTTTATATAAAATCATCCCTGAATCAGTATTTTGAGGTGAGTATCAACTAGGGATTAATAATTAATTTTTTACAAAATATATGAATAAATGATCTTATCACCTTTTTCAAAACCGTCTTTGGTTTTATTCATGATTGTAAATATATTTTCATAATATTCCGTCTCATGTCCGCCCCAGTTGACAATTCCTTCATGTTGATGATCTAAAGCTGAAGATGTAATAATGAATTTTTAACATAATAATCAGATATGCACATAGCTAAAATGTCACACAGTTACAGGCAGAATATAAAGATGGTTAGTTCTTAGACTATTGATTTGAGCTATACGAATTTCAATGGTGGTCTGAATTATCTTTGTGATGATACACAGGCTTTACTGATTAGATTATCTAATAAAACTTTAGATACCTATTAAAATTAAGCCAATTGGTGAATCCAGCACCTAAGTTATTTATCTTATACTGATGTACTTAAACCATAAGCTGTGAAATATTAGTTGAGTAATGGAGGGTTCTTGAAAACATCATGATGCTGGTAAGTCAATCCAATGTTGGTACCAAGCTAAGTAACAGGTGTATACTATAATTTGTCTTTCTTTGTAGGCATGTTCTCAAAGTCAAACCCATATTTCATCATATTTTGATTCAGTGGTAAGGATCTGACATGGGTTCTAAGAGATTAAAACCAATGGTTACGAGAGTTTTTGATATTATTTATTAAGCAATCGGTCTTATACAGGATAAAGTAGCTCTAATTCCCTTGTTGAATAACAAACAATGGGCTGTTTCGATGTCATCTAAAAATGAAACCCTGGTGGGTGATGAATTATTTGATACCAGTAGACCAAGCAACACCGTCCCGTGGTGTGTTAAATTTTGGCTTTATTTTATGAATCACATAAATGAACAGTGGTCTTTTGACACTCTATAAATAACTGTATTTATAACCTCTAGATTTTACCATGCGAAATCTATGTCCAAAACACAGATATTCCGATTTTTGAAGAAGTAAAACAATCTGTTTAACTCTATTTTGTGGGATAGAATTATTACGAGACCTGCGATTAGAATACAATCATGATATTATGTATGCGTATACAGTTTCTTTGTCAGTCAAGCACTTCAACGGGTAATTCTGTACCTAAATCAATGAGTATGATGATAGTTGATTTCAAACATCAAACTACGTCACTTAACAGAAATCTACCACTTACTTTCTCTTTCGGATTGTTCGCTTTGCATTTCTTCGTGGTTTTCTGTACTTGTGTTTTCTTTTCCATGTTCTTCACTGTATTTTTCTTCAGTAGTCTCGTATTCTTCGTCATCCTTTAAGTTGGACTGATTGGAATCCAAACGATAGGGACTTCCTTCACCCCACCGAGCCAATCCGTTATGACTATGAATGTTATCTAAATAAAGCATAGTAACATTAAACGTACTACAATACTTATTCCACATACAATATACTTTTTTGGGAGACTTACAATTTCTTTTTTTAAAAATGTAGGTAGGCTCTAGGATTCCTTATAGGATTCTAAACGAGTAATCTTATTTTACATCAAGAATAAGAAATACTCGTTGTTATAAAATATTTCTTTACTGAGAAGAATATTTATTGTCGATATATAATTTTACATAAGGTTTATTTCATGCTATGATGTTTCTGCCTAAACATGAACAAAATATCCATCACATTACACAGCGCTTTCCGACTAGTCTCTAGATACCACAATCTCTCTTTTACTCGGTCAATATGAAATAAATTAGGCTCCATTTTTTCTTCTAATTACTTGAAAATCAGCTACATTTGGGGAGGGGGTTGTATAATATTCCAGCGAAGTCTTCAAATAGGTAAAACAGCGTAGAAAATAAAAAGTTGTAGAGTAATGGAATTTTTATCAATGGTAGCAAATGCTGACAAACTACTTGGTATCATCACTGTATTCACTCTCATATAGATACACATTTGGTTTTATTGTAAGATTTATTTTCTATTTTACCCAGTGTACAGCATTATGCAATATACCTGTTTGATATGATAAGACAAAAGTCTATCACCTTGATTACTTTTCGAAATCAATTGAACTATGTCATTCATGAAGGTAAAGCTGTTCACAACTGGAAATATATTTACTTAAACAAAAAAGAAAAAAAAGCTAAAACGACCTACCTTCTAAATCCATTTCATTGAAAGATTCATTATGATTATTTTCACTGATAAGATCACCAGTTCCCATAATTCTACTGTCACTTGTATTATCGTATTGTTTAAGTAATTTGTCACTTTCATGATGTCCTATAATGGTTACGATTTTCAGTATTAATATTTATAATTTAGGATCATTAGTTAGTAAATCTTAGACACGTTTTCTAACCCGACCATTTGAACTGAAATATCTTGAACTAGTGGATATATTAATTTAATAAGCATGTTTTTCAAAGTTGAAATCATGAGTCAATTGAAGCTAGACCACCATCGAGAACCTGGAAGCACTGGACGGCCGTTTCGTCCTATTATGGGACTCCTCAGCAGTGCGCATCCACGAACCCACTAGTGACTGACTTCAAGATACATGTTCTGGAGTTCTAGTGGGAAGCAGTGACCAGTGGAGTTCAAAACCACGTCTGTTGTGAGATAGGAACTCACTGAAGATAATTGGTGAATGGTTGCTCATCTTTGTGGATCAGTTGAAGTTAGACATTAACACCGTTGGATGCCAACTCAGTGGTCTATCGGTTAAGGGATTCGGCTCGAGAGTGGTGGGTCCTGGGTTCGAATCTCGCGAGAGCGGGTTCGTGGACGCGCACTGCTGAGGAGTTCCGTAATAGGACGAATCGGTCGTCCAGTGTTTCCAGGTTTTCGATGGTGGTCTAGCTTCAATTGACTCATGATTTCAACTTTGAAAAATACTGAAATCTCCACAAATCCCCTTCTGATTAATAAACATGTGTTAAATGTTTTCATGTCTTTCCGTAAACATTGGTACTTTTATGTAGACCGATCCAAATGACGAGTATTGAATGGATCAGTACGCGCCAATTTGATTTTATTATTAGAGACTATTCAGAAATGAGGTTATTTGATTTTAATAAGATCGGATATTTAGTAAACGGTAATTTAAACATGGTTTATTCATTAATTTGTCACTCACATATTAGAATGTTATAACGTGTGCGTGCGTATGTGCCCTGTTAATATATGAACGTAGTAAGACCGCCTATCAAAGAGCAGTGAAATTATTAATCGCCCAATGATACACAAAAGCTGTATGAGCAGTCTTGAGTACTACTCGGTCCTGCTTTCTGTCTAGCCCAGTCAGTTAAGTCCAGAACACCAATAACAGCCTCTAAAATATGAATCATTATTCTCAAACATATTGGGTTTATATACCAATCAAACAGACCACATCGTACCATAGAATAGAAAATAAGATTTGTACAAGATTTAGCCAAAAGGGGATGTGAATAGGGGGAAAGTAATAAATAGACTGACGATAACTCAAGAATCGTATAATAATAGTTCAAAGGTGAAAATAAAGCTAATGATAAGAGGAACAAGAATACGATTAGGTTAGTTACTTAACAATTATTCAATAGGAAATATACATATTACATTGGTCCATAAATAGTTCTTAAAGTTACTATTCACAATTCTCTTCGGGATACAACAAGGAACATTAACACTAATGGTGAAAATAGTACTCAGTGACAAATCTGTGTTCTTTAAAAATACAAGATATAGATATCAATTTGTCTAATTTATATGTAACCATGTTTAAAAAGTTCAGATATTTCTATCATACTGTTTAAATAATTTAATTTTGCGCATGTTTTGAAAAGTGATCAGTTAAAGCAAGACACTAATTTTGATTACAGCCTTAGTATATTTTTTATAGGAATGAAATAGGAAACATATTTTGTAAGTCATATCAAGGTATAACTGGGTAAAATGAAAATACATTACATTTTTTACTACTAACATTGAAATAACACTACAAACATAATTATAGTTTTCTAATTCAGTAAATATCCACTGAATCAAATTAGAAGAATTAAATTATTATCATAAAGGGGTTTTGTGGAGATTTTAGTAATTTTATATAATTGAAGTAATAAGTCGATTGAAGCTAGACCACACTGGAAAACCTGGAAGCCCTGGACGGCCGCTTCGTCTTATTGTGGAACTCCTCAGCAGTTTGGGATCGTGGATGCAATTAATGTCATGTTCATTTAAATTACATTAGAATTTTTCTTAATATACCTGGAGAAACATGTACAAATATACATGAAACTAACAAATCGTGAATTTTTAATTTACAAAACTAAACCGAAGCTAGACAGTTAGATTAAAATTCCAAAATCAGGATCAGACCGAAGACTTTCACGTCATTTGATGAGACCAGCTGAAGAAATTTTTCTCATGGATCATAGAGTTTTTGTTAAACTGTGAGACGTACGTTTACCTAAGTTTTAAGAAAATGTTAACTAATTTAGATTGATAGTGTTTTTAAAGATGAATACATAATCGACTTACTCAGACGACGGAAAACATCTTCAAGCCGTAAAAATTTCAACTCATAACATTTTAGTAAGTATCATTCTTATGCGCATTTGTGGCTGCGTATAAGATAGATCTAAATAGATTATATTTAAAAACCGTTGTCGACGAAGTAAGCAAATAGAAAATGAGACAATAAATTATTAATCTTTCTGATCAGTACTAGTGTCATATAATATACTGACTGAAAATAGAAATGTGACCTAATTTATTATACTTTGATTGTAAAGAGCTATCATAATGATCATTGGATACAAATGTTCTGTCAATGGTTATTGATTACTAATTGCAGTGCATATTGTTAATAAGCATTTTAATACTTCTTTGTTCACAATAACTCTCCTACTGATATCTCAAAGTAATGTTCATTAACTTAAAAGAAATAAATATATAAGTAGGTGGATCAAAATATTTTGAGTGACAAATAGTATCTTTTTCTTAACTGTTAGTCTCATTCATACACATCACTTTATTATTATTCATACTAAGTGAATTAATCAAAGATGGATAATGGTTAGCAGTGAAATCCAGGACGCGCGTTTCGTCCTATTTGGGACTCGTCACCTGGATGTATATGCATCTCAAAGTGAATTAATGTTCAAATTAATCACCATTGACACAAATCTTACATGAAACTTAATAAATCAATCCAAAACACTAAGGATTATATTTTGTAAGTATGATATAGTATTCGAACGAAACTAGAGTAGAAGTATTATACATATGAACGGTTGTTATTTAAAGAGAAATTATCATAACAATGAAGAACTTACTTAAACTTTCTGTAGTTAAAATTAATGTTATACATGAAATAAAGAAGAAGAGATACGATGAAACCGTCATTGTACTAGATGATATAGACCAATGTGATGGATATGAATTTTCTTAATCAGCTCGATGATCTGAAAAATTAAATTTATATTTATTCAAAATATTTTATAAATAACTCTTTATTTATTTGTCAATAACATCCACTAATGATAATAATAATAATAATGTAACATTAATCCTTCATATACTTACATACATCTAATTGCTTTCTGTATATATTTCTATTACGTGATGGTATGTTTAAATAAAAAAGGGGTTCTATTTATAAGTAACTAAAAAAATATAAAAAAATTGGACAGTTCAATCTAAAACTGACTATATAACACTAAACAATTCAAACCATATAAATAAACAAAACAAACAAAGGTGACACAATATTTCATCTTGAAACTAATATACAAATTAATGTTTTTGTTCTACACAAATTTATTTTAATTTTGATTTATAATATTTTTGTTTTTTTGTTTTTGTTTTTATTTTTTTAAATTTACTTAGTGTGTACATGAATATGTATGTGTGGATATTAATAAATATGAGTTAGATCCATCACTCATTTGTGCGTGAAACTGATAGGTCCTGGGTTCAAAACTCGCGAAGCGAGATTGTGGAAGCTCAGTGCTGAGAAGTTCCACAATAGAACGAAACGGTTATTCAGTTCTTCCAGTTTTTCCATGGTGATTCATGATCTCAACTATATAAAATTACTAAAATCTCCACAAAACCCCTTTATGAAAATAATAAATACCGAAATTCAGTCATTAGAGATTATCAGATATATGCTTATACCATCAGTTAATATAAACTTCTTTATGATTATTAAATTTAATCATTCTGTAGTTATTTAATTGCATTATAAAGTGTATTTAAGTTAATCAACTTTATTTAAAGAAAACTTTAAGTTTATATTTACTGTGAAATAAGAGAAGAGCAACTTAAGAATGATTCAAGATGAGCGTTTCGTCTAATTTTGGACTCGTCATCTGGATGTACCTGCATCTCAGAGTTGATGTTCACTTCGGAACATAAACTTAGTACCGTTCTTTTCAAACGCCATCAAGTTATTCACTTAGCTACTGAACTCAGATAGCCACTAGATTATGCAATGGGATGAAGTTTTAATTTATTTTGTGTTGGTTAATTGAATCTTGCACATATGCTGATAAGAGACTGATCAATTACAATCTTAAACATCAATGGAAAAGATCAAACAACCAAAACATAATGAGTTATTCCTCTGTATACTTTTCCGAATACATATATGAATCATAGAATAAAATAACTATGCTCTCTCTCTAGATCTTTCAAAGATGAACTGTTACCGATGAATTAGAAAATATTGACATGAATTCAAATCACACCCTAAGAATCCTAATTTAATTTATTAATAATAAGCCGAAATATCATATTACATTCATTTATTCAAATAAAAGTTGTATTTCAAAAACATTTTATCAAATCTGCATAAAAATCCGCTTGTAGCTCTTCTAGAGTTACTGCCGATCCAAAACCCACATAAAGGAGGATGGTCGGGCATGAGGTCAACAACCACATCCCATAGAATAAAAATCTTGGTTAAAAAACGCCAACCAGATTAAACAATCTAAATCAATTGAACTTTGTCCTCTGAGTTGAATGAAGAATAGTGACTACTCAGGGTGAAAGCTGAGATTATTCGGAAGTCACAAGATTGACGCCTCTTATAACAACCAAACTAACAATTAATATAGGTACATGGAGTGTCCAGACAATATGAGAAACCGGAAGATCAGTCAAATAACAAAGAAAATGAGGTGATCCGACTTGGTGATGCTCGAACTCAGTGAAACACATTGGATTCAATCTGGACAGGAAAGGATAGATTCGGGAGAGATGCTGCTGTACTCTATTTACGAAGAGGAAAATGCTCCACATACTCAGGGATTGGCTCTTATGCTTTCCAATCAATCACGAAATGCACTTGTAGAATGTGAATCTCACGGATCCAGGATCATCAAAGCATCCTTTGAAATAAAGAAGGAGGAGGTCACAATGAATACTATTCAATTTTATGTACCCTCCAATGATAGCAATGATGACACTAAAGATCAGTCCTACGAAAGGCTGCAATCGATCATCTCGATAGGAGACAAGCTCTAAATTGGAATCCTGAAGGGAAGGGGAAAAGAGGAAGACCAAAGAAAACATTGCTCTGGGAATTAGAGGAAGACATCAAAAGGATGATTAGCAACTGGAAAAAACTGAAGAGAATTTCCCAGGACAGGGTGGCCAACCTAAGCTCCTCCACGTAGGGTAACAGGTGTAAGTAAGTAAATAAGCATGAAAATCTGTTGTATTACCTTACTGGTCTAACATGTGTACTTTCTAGGTTATATTCTTCCCAATAGAATATTTGTTTACATAAACATTGTAGATAACTAGGTACAACCTATTTAGTTGCTGATTTCCTAAGATTACGTGAATACAAGACTAGAATACGAGTTTATTTTTAGATATTTTTTCTACTTTTCTCATAAAATAGAGAAGACTTATTTTCTGTTGTAGAACTTTCACAAGTTGATTGATTTTCATTTTTCATTGGAAAAACTGAATTTCTAACTAGAAATAAAAGAAAAAGAGTAGTCTAACATGCATCAATTTATTTTTTTAGTCATTAACGGACATGATAATCATCAGATGTATACGTTCAAATAGGAAAAGAAACAACATTTAACAGGCCAAATTTCAAATAATTACTTTATTCGTGGTTTATTTGTAATTGAAATGGATAGTGCATAGTCAAGCTACAATCTGTTTGAAACTTTATTCGATAACATAAAAAAGAATAATCTGTGGTTGTGTAGTGTATGTTGTTGATATAGACGTATAAAAGTAGTATATATCACCAGCCGAAAGTGGAATTTCTGATGGCAGAATGTTGGTAGAATTGAAAAGAAGAGAACGAGAAAATAGAGCGATTGGCGTGGAAACTATGAAACAACAAAGTCTGAGACAATTGATGGATATTTTGCAAATGAAGTATTTGCTGTTTGGTTCTCAGATTTTATCAAGACATTCTGTATTGTTGTATTAAAATACATATGGTTGTTCCCACTGATATTCTCGTTCACTACACTTGTATTAGTTAGAAGTCATAGAATATATTTAGTTAAGATTTATATAAACTTCCTATCGCCATTATTGAACTTTTTCGTTGTCAAATGTTTTTCGCCTACAGATTTCATAAATGTTTTCCACTATCCTCATTGTGCGTATCACATCATATTAATGGATAGTATTTAGTAATTTGATCTATCTTATTAAATTCTTATTGCTTGAATATGGATGTACGTTTTCTAATCCACTATAAATAGATCACTGATCTCATCACTTTTTAAGGGTATTGTTAATTTTGAGTTCGTTCGCATACCTGTAACGGTATCTATATCTTCATTTGACTGTTCTTTAAACATATGTATATATTTGCCAATCATATCAAAGTTCATAATATACGGGTGTTTATATGGATGCTAATACATGATTATGGGGGTCTATCGGTCTCAGAAACAACTCAGAAGTTTGTTTAAATGCTGCTTACTGCATATCATGATTGATTCTCCCATTTATATCCCTTTGTCAATATGTAAAATGACAAACACAGGGCGATACGATGCAGTATTTTAAATCCCGTTAAATATAGTGGATAAACAAGAAACTTGTGTTTTTATAATTAAGTTGACATTGAGTGTATTTTAAAATCTATTGACTACAGATTTACTGCTTTATGTAAACATTAAACTTTTATCAATATTAACATAATTCAGGTTTCCAAAACATAAATCTAAATGTTTTACAAATCTCTCTCCATGTGAACTCTGACCAAATGGCATGATAACAATGGCATTCGATGAGGTACTCTCATCATTCTTATCCTAATGTAGTGAACAGAACACGACTGGGGACAATCAAATGTATTGAAGCAAGAATTACAGACTATCTCACTAAATTTTGATAACCATACAATGAACAGTTAATTTGCAAATTGACAACCAATAGTCTCAATCTTCACTGTTTCTTCTCTATTTCCATTGTTCATGCATTTTCCTACCAATTGCGCTTCACTTCAGTTCTTCCCTCATCGGTCTTCTGCCAAAATACATTCTATGTCTGACCATCGCCATATACTACTTATATAGATATAAGTAGACCACATCACACTAGTATATTAAAATTCAGATTAAGAATGCTATTAAGGATGAAAAGACTAAGTTTTAAACTATTACCGAGGTTGATGGCACTGAAGATATTTTTTATTAGCCTGTATGACACCATAAAAATCTAAATAATAAATTCTCCTTATGTAGAGTTATGTCATTCTGTTTTTTTCCTGTTGATTATTTCTGGGCTAACTTCAGTTTTGAGATACTTCCTATCACAGACTGCTGATAGTTAATCGATAAAAACCAGTATGCTTACACCACTGTTTCTTCGTAGTTTATTGTTATCCAGCAATGTAGATTCCCCGCTATAACTGAGGTTGAACTCATGACATCATGGTTTCTTGACGCTCCAAAATGACGTTGAACACTAATTCATTTGTAGCAGGATCGCGATAAGATCCAAAAGTGCTGGTTCCAGTTCCTTATTTGACAGTGGTCGAATGCTACTAAACAACCCCAAAATTAGGAGCAAACGTCTCTAGTGTTCTGTAGTTTAAAATGCTAATTAGCTGAAGTCATTTTATTGTGTAAATGATCACACTACTAATGTCTGTTGACCTTATTTTTACTTCAGTTTGAAAATTGTCATCCATATATGTACAACAAAAGAAAGTTGAAGATGATTATTAATTATTTATTGTTTTAGATATACGTAATTCAAGACATCAGATTTTATTTCTGAGATCAGTTGGTGTTGTATTGTCAACAACACTCATCATCAATCTGCACAAAATTAAGTCTCTCAAACAAGAAATTTTAAACATAATTTCATCGGTATTTCTAAATCAGGAGCTATATGATTTTATTAGGCGGTAAATTACATTATTTCAAACAAAGAGGGAAAACGAAGGCTCGTATTTCGGCTACATGAAAGTTCAGAAAATAAGCACGTGGATGCACATTTATCTTGTAAACGTATTAGTTTTGATCGTACACACGGTTGCATGTTGTTGCCTTTGGATTTAAATAAGCATCCTACATAGATGCGGATGCTTAAGTAGGTTATTGATTTAATATGAAATTTTTACAAAATGCTGTTTCAATAGCAGCTTATCGCTTGTTTAGGTATAACTGGTGAAGCGAGTGAGACATTTAAAACAAAAAATATGTTGTATCAGAGCTATCATATACTTATATTCAAAGCATGATTCTATCAACTTATAACTCTACAGACAGGATGGTGATTTTCTCAAGGTGAATATGCATATTTCAAAGATAAAGTACCAATTTCGATTAGTTTTGCACACATGAAACAATTTAACTGTTTTGACAGATCTAGTTACGTGTATTATGTCCTGAGAGTAGTTCTTACATTCCAACCAATCTAAACATGATATAGTACAAATAAACATCAGTCTTGGGCTCTGCACAACTTATGACGAAGTACACAGTCCCAAATCATTTTATGTAATATACCATACAGAAAATTCATTCAGAAATTTTAAGAAAATATATCTACTAAACAATTCTACTGATATTGTGAACCAATGTGAATTGGTCAGATGAGAAGGTCAATTGATGTTAATCAGAGGTGACGTGTAGGATAAGTAAATATCATTGGCTAAGAAGTGGATTGATTTTCTAGGGGTTATATATACATATATATAAACAAGTATTTGTGCCACTTTTAAGGTAGCTCTTGTGTTCTCTAGTCAATTGAAGGTTAGCATATAGTTCGTCGTGTATCAATATCAAATTTCATACACCATCCATTATAAGAGTTACATCTTTTACAAATTACAAAATACTAAACTCTCTACACTTTTCTTTACTCTTCTTTATAAATGAAGTGAATATGAACATTTTCTTTCTTATATTCATTATTTTATTCAAACAATTAAATTAATTTTACTGAAGCAATAAAAGAAAGCCTAATCATAAGTTAATAGACTTAGCTAAATAAGAATATTCTAATGAAAACATAATAATTCATTGTATGGATTGTGTAAATTTTTTTTAACAAATTCGCATCACTCGATGAAAATAAAAGGCATAGTAACAATAATAATAACGGTAACTGATGAGTGAATAGTTGAAAATGAATAAAATAAGGTGTTTAGATGAAAGAGAAAAAAGAGAGGGCCATGGTATGTAAGAGTTATGAATAAAGTAAACTATATTTATTCAATTTTGATTTACTGTTTTATTTTCTTATTATTTTCATTTCTGTATACGAAATACTTTCCTTGAATAGGTACTAATGAGAATTACCCTCTAGATATTTTCATGGTACCTGCTTGAATCAATTCTCTTTCTATATGTGTTTATTTTGGAGTCATCAGCAGATAAACTTCTTTTTATAATTGATCGATGAAACTTTATTGTATTATGATGATGAGATCTATGATAAGTAAGTCGATTTGATTTATTATTATTATTATTATTATTATATCCATGATTAGGTATCATTTCCATATTCATATGAAATGCTTTATAATATTTTAAACGACATTGTTTACATAAATCATCATATTCATCATAAGAAGATGATGATGATCTTGATAATGATGATGATGGTAATAAGCTTAACCATTTATAATTATATAATCTATCTGATATAGGTAAGTAATTGAAATCACGTATAGAATGTTTTTTACAATTTGCATTATGTAATTCTATATTCATAATTAAATCACCACATGTTGAAATAATCTTTCTATTTATAGGTCCATGTCTTATATAAAGTTCATTTTGATTCTTATTAATCTTCTTTAATCTTTTCACAGTGATTTTATCATTCATAGATTCTTTTCTACCTTGTTGTAACATCGTGGAAGTTTGTTCTAGCTGAATATTCTTAGGTAAGATATTTTGACTATTATTAGTTGTAGGGGTTTGTTGATTATTTAACTTATTTTGATATGGTTGATTTATTAACGCTTTAGATGAACTTTCACCTGGTGATTCAGAATAATTGAAAGTTTTAATTTGTATACATTGGGTTTGTAATTTATCGGTAGGTTTGGATTCAGGTATAAATTGTTTATTCATTTCATTTGAATCTGATGTCCAATTCGGTACAATATTTGTTTCAGTTACATAAATATATGGAAGGTTAGTTTGTATTGAATTATCTTTTTGATTGTGATAAAAATTGGGTAGTTTTTCGATTCCATTAGCTGAACCAATTTGTGTACTAGTCTCATTGACTAGAATTAATCCATAACAGTCTGTTGTTTTGGTTAAATTATTCAACACTTTTCTATTATATTCAGTCTTTTTCATTTTATCAGAAGAAATAAAACTGGATTCTGATTCTATTAACCAGCTTTTTACTACTTCTTTTATACTTGAAACGTTAGCTAAAATCATTGGTTTTTTCACTGTTTGGATTTGTGTAGAAGTGTCTTTTGAGTTTACTGCTAGAGGCATATTTACTTGAAGCTTCTTACCTATCATTATTGGCAAATAAGTTGCAAATGATGATGCATCACATAATTGACTGGAATATTTTTTTGTATGTTCTCTGGACTCATAACTTAAATCAGTCATAGGACGAGTAACAGTGTTGTTAAATGTTAAAGACGGTCCAATCTGACATGAAACAGAAAATTTTAACGGAGGTGATATTCTTGTAGTAGATGCATTAGTCATCTGAGACAGATTCCTTGAATGTGTTTCAAAACTTTTTGATCTTCTATCATATTTTGCATACATTCTTGAACCATCATTACAATCGTTGACTTGGTCACTGGTAGCGGATATTATTGATTGAATATCTTCACTCCTAATTGGTTCAGTACCGCGATTCTGTTGCACTATGCCAACCTGACAACAAATATCCCATACTCTCACACCACTAGATTTAGATCTTTGGTGAGTAACTCTGTCAGTTTTTTCTTTTTTGCTAGAAAGTGTATGTGACGGATGATAAGACTTTTGCTCTAAAATCGTATCATTTATAAAATTACACTGCACAGAACTATCTTTACTGTAAACTTTGTTTATATTTTTGTAGCAATACTGACACATGGTTTCTAGATTTATGAGATTTCGCTGATTATTTGACTCTGCATCCAATAAAATCGTATCTAATTGTCTCGAAATATACATCTCCATATCAGTTTGAATACCTGAATCAATTGTGTTGTACATTTGACTTTCACTAAGAGCATTGTGATTAACTCCATTTTCAAATGAATATCTCTTTACATGTTTTCGGCTTTTCATTTTAATTCTGTCGCTGTAAACATTCATAAATTTGCTTTTTTCTCGGTCATTAACCGGTGTCATTTGTATAGCCGGCCACCACTTACTGTCAGTAGGAGGAGCATATCCCCATGGTGTACCTTGTTGTATCCAACTGTATGATCTTACTGCTGAATTCGTGCTTTCGTCAAAATTTCCTTGGTCTTCGTTTAGGTCTGAAAACTGAGTAGACGAACGACAACTAAATTCTCTAATAGATTCACTTGGAGTAATATTTAATGGAGACCTTCTACCTGGTGGACCTGGTTCAGTGTTTGGACTTTCAGGAGCATGGGACTCATCTTTAAGCGTACGTTTGCCACGTTTATACCACCATAGAAAAGATCGTTTACCTGGTCTGCTTCTATGGCTTTCAGAGTAAACCTCACCATGCATTTGAGAAGAATTTGTTTTTTCTTTTGTACTAACAGAAGACTCCGATGGACTATCAAATCCTGAACTTGCTGTAGTTTCAGTGAGACTAGCATTTAAACTATATGGTCTACATTTTTTTCTACCTTTTGATCTGGAAATTTTTTTCATAGCACTACACTTTTTATTTCTATACGTTGATACTCTATCATCAACAACATTAGAATCTTTAGTTTCAATAGACAAACTTGGCATTGAATGAGCCGCTTTTAATCGATTTTCTGATATATCACTTACTTCACTAGAAGAATTCATATTCGATGTAGATACCTCTGGTTTACAAATAAATGGTGACAATAAATTGATTTCATGAAATTCTGAACAATTTGTACAATAAACAACAGCTGAATAAAATGGTGAATCAATTTGAGTCATTAGTTCTTTTGTGTGTTTATCAAAATGTGAAGGATTTTCTAACATCTGATCACTGTGACATTTTAAAGAGTTTTTCATGTGAGAAGCTTCATGTATTCGATGATCATATACTGTTGTATTCTTGTTTAATGTAAATGTTTTGGGTATATTTTCAGTGAAAAATGTTATTAACTGTTTTTCATTATATTTTCTATTTATTTCATTTGGATACATTGTTTTATGTTTATTAGTTACTTTATATACTGAAGGCCTAAAAATAAATAGAATAGTGGATAAGGTTTGTAGCTCAGGTGGGTGATTTTGATGTAGGTTTGTTCTCTGAGCTGGATGGTTTGATCATGGAGGAGAAATTCAAACACTTCACTTCTACCCGAAGTTTGTGCTGATGATGTCGTTCAGAAGGATGATGAAAGCTCCACGACCAAACCGTCCAGCTCAGAGAACAAACCTACATCAAAATAAATAGAATAACTAGTCGAAATAATATAAAATACTGTTTCATAAACGGACAAATAAATTATATCCATTCAAAAATAAATTACATCATCAGTACTTATCGAAAGTAGAGAGTAGTAACCATAGTAATAATCACACAGTTTAAAGATTAATAATAACCTCAAACAGTAAACCGATCACTTGAATAGATTAAGCTACAATACAGTGATATATTCATATATTCATACATTCTATCTTCTTTTGGGAATACTCTTTATAATATTAAGCCTTTTATAAAGCATTAATGATCATAACTAGTAGCAGTAATTAATTTGTTGAACCATATACATTCATAGAAACGTAATGATATTCATAAAGTATGCTACAAGTTATTTTGCTATTTGTCTGTTATCTTTAATTCAGCTGACAATAACTTCCAACCTCAATATACAAAAAATAGAAAAAAAACGAATAAGCAGTTTTTTTTCAATTTAATTAAAAAGGCATTTTTCGATTTTTAGAAGTAAATCTACTCATCAATGAAAAGCAATCGAATGTCACGTCAGGGTTCATGACTTCTAATTATTTAGGATGTTCAGAATAAGTAGTGACATATTACTCTACATCATAAAGTCAATCAAATATATTTTCAATTATGAGATTGTAAGATACTTTAACAGACTTTATCTAAACTTGTAGATTATATGATTTCCTTATTCTGGGCTGAGGTTATTTTTTACGTTTTCAATGCTCAATAAATATATTGTATCCAGCCCTTGAGAAAATATTTTACATTTCTTTAGTGGGTGAGTGCTAGTTATAAAAGGTTTAATTATCATTCGAAACTTTGTTTCTGCATTTTATTTGTGTTTTTCATCTAGCGAAATCAGTGCGTTACGCTGACGTATTCACAGAAGACAGCTACGACAAATTCTAAATGCCTGAAATGGATATTTCAGTGAAAATTATAGTCTTGTATAAGGCACACACAAGCTAAGTGAATAGAACCCTCCTTCCTACTCTCACCAGTTCGTCTTTTATATGCTCTAAACCATCCTACCTAAATAGTGTTTTTTCCATACCATATGATCAAACTTTCATGAATTTCTTTAGAAGATATCTCCAGTTTTTATCATAACGTGATATTTAGTCGTTACCCGATCTATTCATCTATATCTATTGATGCTAACTCGATGATTCAGTCTATCTGTTCATTTGAAAGACAGAGACAACTTTGTTATTCAGATATGTTTTTCAAAAATAAGTCTCAAAAAGTTTAACCAGCTGAATTCAGAGTGAACAGTTACAAGTAGTCAGAAAATCCTTAGACACTTCTATCAGTTCGCTTGGATTTCAGATGACATTTTATTTTAAGATATACAGACATTATCTTTCCTTATTGAATTCATAGTTGCATTTGAATACACTTATTGGTACAAAGTACACTGCTTTTATTCCTTCAATTACTTTAGTTCATTTGTTGGAAAAAGACTTACGAAAACTTTAAACATGAATCTTCGTTTTTCAGTGTTGTGAGACTTTGGTCATTAACTTCGTTGTCGGATGTATTTGCCACTGCTTCATTAAATTTCTGTAAAAAGATCTAAAAAATTATAAAATGTATTTTTACGGGAACAGATACTAGTAAATAATATAAGCTTTTCTATTACAGGCTGAAAAAATCTAGCAACGACTCAATTACTTTGTCGAATCAAGAACACAACTTGTTCACACCGATGACCTGCAAGCTAATAATAATATCAAAATATATATTTTTTATTCATAAACCGATTGAAGTATGTGTTATCTTGATGGGATTCTGCGATTGCCGTATGAATGAGGGACAATTGTTCTCATTCTCTCATCAAGGACTTTCAAACAAGTTTTCTCTCTTCTATCTCCTTAAAATCAAATTGCTTAATCGAGGTTATTGATCAGCAAACATCCAAAGTTTCAGGAATGCATTGTGAATTGTTTAGTGTTACACATGATACTTGAATCCAATGTAACTAGTGATCTCATCTTCCAGCTTACTTCGTGAACCACTGTACTAGGAATATAAAGTTTATTAGCCCAAATAATTCACAAAATTAATTGTAGTTTAATATGTACGAGAATCGATCCCCCATCAAACCAATATTAATTTGATCGGTAACATTTCTGTTACGTCTGGCCGATTGTGAACACTATATTCGCTTCCCTAAGCTAGTTCCGTAACCCCCGAGCAAGAAATACTCAGCACGACTGGAAGACCAGAGAAAAGGCACAAAGTGTGAGGGAAGCACTTTACTACAGGGTTCATTTATGTACAGCAAATATGGGGATTTTATAGTAATTTAAGAGTCCTTGAGTTTTACTGAAAGGTCTAGAACACTGCTAAACATAGTAGCAGTGTATAAATCAGCCAATCAGGACCTCCACATGTGACTTTTTCATTTTCGTTATTTTAGTAACATAACTTCACATAACTTCTAATTAATCGCTGATTGGTTGAAATGCTCTATGAATACCCCTGAGCTTGTTATGTCGCTTGCGAGAAAAATGCAGGGTCATCCCAACAATTTCAGTGTGGGAATAAATGAGTGCATACAAGTAGGCAATCAAGTCTTTATGCAAAAGATCCTACAGAAAGCATAGTATCAAATAAAATCAAAGGACTGTTTAGAATAGATGTAAAGTCCATCAAATGATCGCAGTATAGTAACTCATTTGTTTAATGTCTTTCGAATTCTAGTTTGCCTATATGACCAAATAATTGGATGATTCTTCTTTCAAACATTTTAAGATTATGTAGTCAATGAAAATGTCGGAAAGTTCATACAAATAACCTATGTTTGCAAAGCAAGATATTTGAAGCTCCGTCAGAGATTGCTCGTCAGATCAGATGGATCAGTGTTTCACTCAATGCTATCCATAACTGACTATACAACAGGGATTATGTAATTTTATTTGACTAAGAGTGTCGACTGTAATATGTTGAACAAGCTTCTATTCTAGCTATTAAATTAATTATAGTTGGAAGCGTGAGTCAATTGAAGCTAGACCACCATCGAAAACCTGGAAACACTGGACGACCGATTCGTCCTATTACGGAACTCCTCAGCAGTGCGCGTCCACGAACCCGCTCTCGCGAGATTCGAACCCAGGACCTACCACTCTCGAGCCGAAGCCCTTAACCGATAGACCACTGAGCTGGCATCCAACGGTGTTAATGTCTAACTTCAACTGATCCACGAAGTTGAGCAACCATTCACCAATTATCTTCAGTGAGTTCCTATCTCACAACAGATGTGGTTTTGAACTCCACTGGTCACTGCTTAAATTAATTACCATAGATTTTTCACTTCTCATTTCAATAATCCCATATTTAATATCAGAAGGGATATTGTGGATATTATCTCAACTATTGAAATCCTATATTTGTTTAGATATTTAACCGAATTCATTATTTATCAGGTATTACGTTGAATACTTTATCTGAAAACAAAATACTCTACAGTAGTGACAATACATAGTATAAACAAATTTTATAGGAAATTCTGCATATTACATAAATTTACCTTCCATGTCTTTACTGTTTCAGTTAGCTGGTGAATATTCTCCTCTTTTATATGTATAACAGTATCTGAAGTATACAGATAATTGAAAGTGACAATACAAATCTAATGGGATATTAATCTAATTGCATTATCTTGGTATTAATCACCAAGAGTTAAGTCAATATTAGAAATCAATTGTTTACATGTTACACATAAAATTAGAATTGTAATATATTCTGTTTAAATAAGAACTTTCGTCTAAATTAGAGCGAGTAATTTCACAATATTTAAGCGCCGAGTTGATGTAGGACAATAAATAGGAATAATATATATTTGTAAAATCTCAGCCAATGAATTTGAAGCAAATCCAACATTTCATCTGGCAATCTGGTCCAAGTTTTTTCATGGAATTCTTTGAAATTCATTCGCTGAGATTTTACAAATATGTTATTCCTATTTATTATTCTATTCATGTTTACAAACTAGTGAGTATTTGGACAACTTAAAGCATATGAAATGTAGTGAATTCACTTCATCCCAAACTGTTCATTATTCTTGTTCTATAAAATTGTAGCAAGAGAACTAAATGCATAACCATATGTATATATACAAATTAAAATCAATTCAATCCAAGAAGTAAGTCATACACAAATAAAAGACTAAGAGGGAGACAATCAAAATGAATATGTAGCCGATGACAGTATAAATATTACAAAACACCAATCAAGATCATGGTCAATTAGACAAGATTTCAGTCATATTTTTTTTGAAAATTCAACTTCATTTAATATTTAGAACTAAGTACAGTATAGCATTGCAAACATTATTGTATCTACTTGATTACCTTAAAATTTCTTGCTTATATTTTCACATCAAGCATACTTCTTTTATTTCGCTTCAGAGATAGAAAGGGCCGATATTATTTGAAGAATAAAGATATCAAGAAAAGATATCATGTACTTATAATGTTAAAATAATTTGTTGATCAAGCTACTGTTGTTTACTTGTATCTTCCCATTGATGTTTAGGACTGCAATTGATCAGTCTCTTATTGGTATGTGTGCATACAGTACGGATAGCCTCAATATTTCCTTACGTCACAAGCTTTATAGGCAGAGATGGATGGTGGCTAAGACGAGCGTTTCGTTCTATTTGAGACTCATCAACTGGATGTACCTGCATCTCAGAGTTGATGTTCACTCAGTAGCTAGGAGGATAATGTGATAGCGTTTGAAGCAAACGGTATTATATTCGGGTCCCAGGCTGAACATCAATTCTGGGATGCAGGTATATCTAGCTGATGAGTCCCAAATAAGATGAAACGCACATCCTGGATTCTACTGCAAACCATCATCTATCTCTGCTTATGAATTTATCTTGAAAGTTTCCGCATCAAAGGTATATCATAATATTGATTTACATATTGAGTGAGATAATGTTTTTGTCTTAATGTAAATGTATTTAAAGTATTTTGTTTGATCTAATAATCTGTATTCCAAATAATTTGAACAGCAAAGTTGACTTTTAACTTAAACTAAAGGTTACAATGTCAGTGAAGCTAAAAAACCCTGTGAATGGTGAAATCATGTGTTTTCTTCCATTACAGAGTCATGAATATGCCAAAACCTAGAAGCTATTGACTTTTCTGGAAATTTCGATTGATTAAGTTTTCATTCCAGTTATCGAGCATCATTAAGTGACTCCGTCAACGGTATAACAGTGACATTCTTAATTTCAGACTAAGTAAAGTAATTATTAAGAATGTTGACAGATGACAGTAAGAACACTACTCTGAATAATAAACCAGAATGATTGGTTTATTGTGTATTAGAACACGAAACATGCTATGACAAATAGTTCTGAAATCTGTGGTTTATCATGCAAATACTTTACGAATATTTCTTCCTTGATCTTCTAAACTGTATCCATATGTACCCAAGTTTAACATAACATACTATCAATCCCTATCTAAAGCTAAACTTAAACTCTTTCTCAACTAATTTATTCAGGAAAAAATAAGTGAAATAATGTACCTGAATGAAATTTTCTTATTGTCTGAATGTCTTAAGAATATACAGATTCGTATGTTAGTTACAGATTTTGCTTTTGAATAAATACATTAGAAAATTCTTACCTTTGGTTTTATGAGACCTATGAGATAACCCCTTCAATGTTTCTAATTCCGGCTCATTTCCATATTCGAGAAGAGTTTGTGATGAATTTAAAAAGTCATTGAATTCTTGTAAATCCTCCACAATGATTGGTTGCTTAATAATAGAATATTTCAAAAGAAAAAATGAAGTTTCTTGGTGATATTTTATAGCAGTCAGGTTACAAGTATTTCATAAAGTATTATATACTTTTTACAGTAACACTTATTGCTTGTAGATGGCAACCTTTATTCGCCTTTTATTCTGTTTCCCAGTCAATATTAACCTAAGAAGTGAGGACAGGATGATTGTCTTCATTAACTGATAGAATTTTCTTAATATGATATCTTAAACCACAATGTTACCTTGATGCTAGAATTTTCAAAATCTGAAATTATGTCTTAAATAACTATTTATATAGAAGAATACGATAGATCTTAGTGATAGTATGAACTGAACTTTACAGATTGTAACATCTAAGTATTCATCAAGGGGAAAGTATAATCAGATGGCTACATTTCTGTTAATAAGTTAATGAATACTGTTTTTTAGTATATCACATATTTGTCTGTTGTTTAAATCACTGAACATCGGGATCCCCTGTGTTAATATGCTTGATTTATCTGATGATAACCAGTAGTGTTCTGGATTTTATGATGGATACTCACAATTAGAGATTATTTGAATCAACTACTCATTGGTTTCATGTCATTGAAACGCCAGAAATCATCAAAATAATCAGTTCTTATTAACTTGCAAATCGAAACGTATATTAAGTATGGGACATCAATATATTTATGGCTTAAGAATATCCATGTTTGTTACTTACAAGCTACTATCGGTAGTATTAAGCAGTAATAAAACAAAACTAGATGTAACAAATTGTGAATATAATGTAGCAACTTTATTAAACGATTTTAATAACTTCAGTTTTCTTAATCACTTCATTCTTCTTTGTACCATCGTGACACTTTTATTGTCAAGTACTCAAAACTATTATCTTGCAAAGTAAGAATTGTTCTTCCTGTAAACATTTTAATACCTGACTTATTAGATCTATTTTATTTTCAGGATAAGGTTGTGGAGATGGTTGGTTCTACGTTGAGATCGCAAGCCTAACAATGTTAGACTACCATTGAAAATCTGGAAGCACTCGATGATCGTTTTATACTAGTATGGGACTCCTCAACAGTGCTCTTCCACCAAAGGTCCCGGGTTTGAATCCCAGTGCTGTGGAGTCACATGTTGGAACAAAACGGTCGTCGAGTGCTTCCAGGTTTTCAATGATGGTCTAACATTGATCGGTTCATGATCACAACCATTTTATTTTAATGGACAGTTTTATAGAAATTCATTAGGCGAGTAATCTTTAAGTGGTCATCAAGTTGAGTATGCGTTTCTCACAGAGCTACTCGTTCATTTTAAATCTGTGTAATGCTGACCACTATAAGTTGATTATTTTATAAAAGCGCTTTATGTTACTAACATTTGAGTATATTTAACGTTTCTTATGTGAACTATAATTCACTTCTTTATCTAAAAACACATATATACTCATATTTCTCTCCCAAACGCTTGTCAATTAAAATGATTCATTGTAATTTCAAGTTGATAAGTAATATGTAATAAAGAGGTCATGCTTAAAAACTAACAACTGTTTTGAGATTTAGGGACAAGATTTACTAGGACTTCATAAGCTTAAAATAACTGAAATATAAGAACTAAAAATAAGATTGCTATGTAGAAAGTTAATTCAACGGCAAAGATCAAGAATCACTGACCTACAAAACTTATATTCATTGTTTCAAGCTTAAAAATTATTTTCAAATGGTTGAATTCATGAGTCCATTAAAGCTAGACCACTATGGGGAACCTGGAAGCGCTGTTATATAACAATATTTTTCACAATTGATTGGTCACTGGGTGGTGATCAATGTCATGAGTGTCAAGTGCGTCTTAAGTGCTGATCGAATGCTATCGATCAAGTTGCAATGTGGCCACTAGTCTAGGTGGCTCGACACTGCGTGCACTATGTTGAGATTAGATGGTGGTTGGACGTGGTCAGCAGGAAACCCGGGTCCAGAGTTTCCTGTTGACTACCTCCAACCACCATCTAATCTCAACAATATTTTTCATAGAACGTAGTTAATGTTTGAAACTTAAAATATAATCGATCGAAATCGATAGCCACGCAGAACACTCAACATCCATTGGCCGGATACTACCAGCAACAGCGTTTTATGGGAGAGGAAAAACCAGCTTCCAGCTTAAGAGGAAATTAGGAAAAGACGTTGGAAGTGGATCGGACATACATTAGGGAAATCAGCAATGTGTATCACGACTCAATCCCTAACTTGGAATCCGGAAGGGAAGCGGAAAAGAGGAAGGCCAAAGAACACACTACTCCGGGAAATAGAAGCAGATATGAAAAGGATGAATGTTAACTGGAAAGAACTGTAAAGGAAGGCTCAGGACAGAGTTGGATGGAGAATGCTGGTGAGCGGCCTATGCTCCTCAACGAGGGGTAACAGGCGTAAGTAAGTAAGTAAGAAATCGATAACAAGGTATTTGAAAATTCTATGATAATTTAAGCTTTGTTTATTATATTTTGAGGCTTTCAAGACAAAGTTTTGCTTAAATCAGTTAACATAACTATTAGTCATTCAATTATTCGTTACCATGTCAAAACATTCGCTTTATGCTGTAGGGAAATCAATCTGCATAACTATTGAGATGGTGGAGAAGATTTGTAGCTCCATCAAAACTACATAACTTTTATTTTAAGAAAAGTTACTTACATCAATATTTTCAAGTTTTTTTATGTAGCTCGTACATGTGGGCATCAATATTTTTGCAAAGAGATTAATAGCGATTCTCCATGAACTATACAAATCTTTATGAAAACTAAAAGAAAAACATCCAATTACACATAAATGAAAATAATTCAATTAATTTATTAAACTCAATTTCATAACTAAGTGATTACAGTTTTCATTAGAAAACTATTCAATGTTGTAAGTAAACATCTGAAATATAGATCTCTAGTTTAGCTCAATGCATTGTACTTAGACTGTTTTCGTCTCAAAGATAAATCAACTTCATCAACATGATGTTAAAAGTTTGATATAGAACGTATTGATACATTTATATTTCAGACTCCGTTCTCAGGAGACAAACCACGGTTGATAAAGTTGAATAAATAAATGGAGTATGAATTTTGGATTGCAGGCAAATCACTGAGTGATTTCGAAACTCAGTTCACACACCCTAACACACAGTACAGTAAATAGGTATGAAAACAAACAAACAGGGAACAAATATATTGAATAGGGGATTAGAAAAGTTCAATGCAGTTAGTAATATTAACAAGGTCACATAAACAAAACTGAATGAATCTAAAGGTCACATATACGTTGTACAAATAACTAGGAAGAGTCATCTGCCAAATAATTTGCCGAGTTTTACATTTGCTTAAAATATGATAGACTAACATAGAAATGTGACAAAAGAGAAGGCTTATTACATTTTCAATAAGGAGTAGGACCGAAACCCTACATGAGTTCAGTTCATCTAAATGCTTACCAGTATGGTGCATCTATGTATTCTATGCAATATAAAAATCACAGTTGATAACCACGTTTTATTCTCGTACGTTCGTGAATTATTTACAAAGCTCACATCATACAGACATTAATTTTATGAACGAAATTGAGTTGAGTATATTTTAAGTCAAGTATTTTGTATGTACAATCGTTGTTCTGGTATGAAAAATTATTTTCTTTGCTGACCTGTTGTACTAACTTCTGACAACTGTTCTTTAGAAGTTTTAAGTCATTTACAAGGACACTAATGAATAACCTTCACTCAGCCACACTTTTCATTTAAATTGTGGTGATCAGCCTCATATGTATAGAAAATAAAGTTTTCTTATTTTATAACACTTCAGCATACTAGTGAACCTCATGAGTAAGAGTATGACAACATAATTACTGGTTATTGACCAGAAAATTTATCTTTGTTGGTTTATTCTTGTTTTATGAGAAAATAATCTGCGATTTATTGTTAGAACACAGATAATAATCATTATTTTTATGAGAGTATTTATTAATATAATGGTGACCAAATAAGCCTAGTTAGCGTTTTTGAGATGCCAACTACGAAAGCCATCATCCAGAAGATACAAGTGTTTATTAACAGTTGTCTACGCAATATACTTCGGATCCGTTGACCAGACACTATCAGTAACATTCTACTGTGGGAGAGAACAAACCAGATTCCATCCAATGGAGGAAGAAATCAGGAAGAAGCACTAGAAGTGGATAGGACACACATTGGATGGGATTCAAACCACCAACTCAATACACAACATAAAGTTACATATTAATACTTTGGTTAATATGTAAAGAATAACTAGACATTATCAAAAATCCAGATACAGCGAATTAGTTATCAATCTTCACATGATGGACCAATTTATTAGGTACATAAGGTAATATGACTGAATATTTACAGAATTATACATCAAAAACCATAATTATCAAGTTCATTTCACTAATATATAAAGAGAATTCTTCCATACATGAATACACTGTCAAATGACTAAAGTTGGAAAATGTAAATCACTCAATTCTAACTTGTCAAGAGTCTTAAAAGTTTATAAATTTAACATCACTGTTGTATGGTTATGTGTACGAACTGTTGGAAAATTACAAACTAAACCAAAACATCTTATCAGTGCTTTCTGATTCTCAATAACTGTCCAACTAATTTCAGTTTACTGTAAAAATTTGATAAGTAAGGATTTTGTATTGAACTACTTATCAAAATATTCACAGGATACTTTTATTTAGAAACATAGTATGGATTATTCAAAAGTTTAAGGCATCTCACTAACTTTTTCCTACACAGATATTTGGATTTAGTTTGGAAAATCCATCGGCTTATTTTGGTCTTAAGAAAATAAAAATTGTAGTATAAAGTAGTAATTTTAAATAATCCCAAACTTTGATAATGTTTCCAACATCCACTAGGTACGTCTTTTTAGATAATCAGTTATCCTTTCCGTAAATTATGTTTTAGATAAAGTGTTATTTTGGTAATCCGGTATCTGACTACAACTTGATCGCGTGATTATCGTTAACGACTTATACATATCGTCAATCCTGTATATGGTCATCGACTTAAATCATGTTAGTGACTAACAGAATTAAATAAGTCAAGTACGAGAATGAAGTTTCGAATAGGTATATTTGTTATATCCCCTAGTGAATTATGAATAGTAACTCTAAGGACTATTTATCGACCAATGTATTATGCCTATTTCCTATTGTACAATTGTTACGTAACTAAACTATTCATATTCGTGTTTCTCTTATCATGAGCTTTATTTTGATCTTTGATTTATTATCATACGATTCTTGAGTTATAATCAGTTTATTGATTACTTTGGTTTGTATAAAAACTCAGTCTGTTTGTAAATAATGATTCATATTACCGAGGCTGTTATTTGTGTTCTGGACTCAACTGGCTGGGCTAGGCAGATAGGAAGGACCGAATAGCACCGAAGACTGCTCGTACGATTTCAATCATCATTTGCGTCCGATCAATAAATTCACTCCTCTTTAATTGCACGTTCATATATATTACGAGTGCACACGATATAACAATATTTTGTACAGTCGTTGATGAGAACAGACGGAGCGAACGAAGGGAAACTAAATGACACTCAGTGGAAAAGGTGACTGGGCTAACTCGATTTAACCAAGTGTGAATCGATATTTATAGTCGAATAAAAATAAGTTACAGACATATGATCAATAGGTTAAGTAATTAACACACATACGATCATTTAAAAAACGTCTGGGTTATTAAGTAAATAAGTGACAAGGTAAAAATGTTTCTTGAGAAGAATGAATGGATTGATCTGTCCAAAGGCTAGAATAAGCTTTGTGGATCTTGGCATAGTACTAGCCCCTACATTATAATATTACAGCTTCAAACTTCTTATTTGATTTTTCATGAAACTTATGTTGATGCATAATGCAACACATAGACAATAAAAGTTGATGCGAATAATAAAGTGAAAATATATTCACAGTACTTATAATGATTAAAAGAATGTGATTTTAAAAGTTTTAAACAACAGTTTGCCTTTACAAAATACTATTCAACCTACCGTTTACAAACATTTTTAGTTGATGAAACTTCTCCTAAAGTTTCAAAATTTTCTTCATTTTCACAAGACTCTAATTTGTTGCTCTTATCTGATATTGGACTATGTTCTGGAGAAGTAAGCCAAAAACAAATTGAAGGTGCATTATTTATTTGTTCACCATTACTGACTTCAGCATTCCATTCACTATGTAATTTTGATACAAATTGATTATTTCCCCATACTTTAACAGATTCACCTCTATGGACCGATTGTCCAGATGGTAAACGTAGCGAGGCTAACAAGTATGCTGAATGTTTGCCCTGAGTTAGTGAGTTACGAAGAAAGATCGACCTCATTATTGAAGATTTTGCCAAGAATTCTTTTGTTTTGAGAGAAAGTCTCGTATATATGCTCTGTCAAAATGGATAATAGAAAAGTCTTTTATCAAGAAACAAGTTTAAATAATGATACGAATTTATATCCTAACTTTGATTAGAGAAACAAACAATTGTGTCATCTTCAGTTTATTTCGGATTTTTCTTTATTTCTATAACTTACCAATTGAGTTTCTATCATAGTTCTAACTGTTTCAAGAGCTTCATCAGTTAAGAAACTCAGTGAACCTAATTTTTCTTGAATTAGCGAATAACTCGAAAGAACTTGTTGTATTTCCATGCGTGCTGCCCAAATTTCATGGTGAAACTTGGAAGAAAAGATAAAAGGGGCAAATAATTAAACAAATAAAATCAAGCATGTCAGTGAAATTAATAATTACATTTATTTTCGAAACACATATTGCTAAAGAATCCTTGAAGACATTTATGTTATCCTTATAAAATATAATACGATCTAACTAGTTTATGAATAATATTCAACAACTACTAACTCATTATAAACATTTGCTTGCATCACATATTTGTAACTGGTTTCTTTTAATGACTTAGATAAGAATTAACAGAATTCATCTACAGAAATGTTTCTACACCTTTGAATCTAAAGTAAAAGACACACAAAAGCCAAGCGATCACAACTACGGGAAATTATCAACCGATTATCAAGTTGGAATATACATTTTGACAAAGTAAGAAGATATTTACAAAGCTCTCATCACAGTATTCGTAGAAGAGAATGTTAAATAAACAGTATTAATACATCACTTCCTAAAATGCACCTGTAATTATTCTACTGCCGACAGTTTACTGACTAATCCCACTATAACTGAAAGAGTCAATAACAATTTAAAAATAGTTTCGTCGATCAATTGCAGAACTTATTACATCAAAAGTATAAACCTCACAGCACACTCAAGTTTTTTTCTGGCTAGCGTTTTTTAGCGAGCTAGTTTGCTGCGGGATGGGGTCGCTAACCCCATGCCCAACCCTACTCCTTTATCCGGGCTTATGACCGGCAGTAACCCCAGGGGGGTTTCCAGGCGGACGAACTAGACTTTTCAGATGATCCGACTCTTATATCACACACGCAACAACAAATGCTGGAGAAGACGAACAGTGTAGCAGCAGACTCAGCAGCAGTAGGTTTCAACATACACAAAGGAAACAGCAAGATTCTCCGATACAACACACCATGCACCAACTAATTCACACTTTTGACGGAAAAGCTTTGGAAGATGTAAAAACTATCAATTATCTAGGCAACATCATTTTTTTAACACGGTGGATCTGGTACAGATGTGGAGGCGCAAATCGGCATTTCTACAATTGAAGGACATCTGAAACTCAAAACAATTGTCAACCAACACCAAAGTGAGAGTTTTCAATACAAATGTCAATATAGTTCTACTGTGTGTGGGTGAAACTTGAAGAACTACGAAAGCCATCATCCAAAAGATACAAGTGTTTATTAACAGTTGTTTACGCAAAATACTTCAGAACCATTTGCCAGACACTATCAGCAACATTCTACTGTGGAAGAGAACAAACCAGATTTCAGAGGAGGAAGAAATCAGGAAGAAGTGCTAGAACTAGTTAGGACAAACATTGAGGAAAACACTAACTGGGTCACAAAACAAGCTCTCACATGGAATTCTGAAAGCCGAAAGGGAAGAGGAAGACCAAATAATACATTACGCCGAGAAATGGTAACAAATATAAGAGGAATGAACAACAACGGGATAGAACTAGGAAGGATGGCTCAGGACAGAGTGGGTTGGAGAATGCTGATCAGCAGCCTATGCTTCATTGGGGGTTACAGATCTAGGTAAGTAAGTAAGTAAGTACATTTATGTTTAGTGTCCATTTTACAATATACCGACCAAAGTACCTATGAAATAAAATATTTGAAGAAGTTACATCAGAATCGCTAATAGGATGTGAGAATATGCCTAGCCACGAACTGACATAGTTTGAAGAACATTGAAAATCATAGAACACTTAAGAGTTGCTTTATTCTACTTTGCGATTCTTCGATAGTGTATACCCATGACTTTACCAGCGTTGAATCTAAGACATTGTGATTTCACAACAAAAGAGATCCAGTCAAAACATTTTCACCTTCAATGTGTTTGTAAGTCATTTAATCTTCTATCAAAAATCCTAACTCAAAGTTCAAAAACAAGGGCTTATTGTATCCTATTTTTTAACAATGACTGATCATGACCACATCTGTCTTCAAAACTAAATACCATTCCATTGATCGGTAAAGTAGATATGAAATATTCATTTCTATGTTTATTAATGGTTATAACTAACCTTGTGATACTCATGTGATTTTGTGATATGAAAATGTATTGCTTCAGATAGTTGAGAAATGTATTTCCAACACTTGTCAACATTTGTACCAGTTTCCTAAAAGGAAATCATTTGTTATCACATTATAATAACATTCAAATTGACTGAAAAATTGAAAATCTTTACCTATAAACCTGTTGCAAAAGATTGTAATGATTTTTTTTCATTGAATCAAACTAATCTTTCTTTAAGGTGAAGTGTATAAAGAATCACTCTTTGAATAAGTTTAAGATTTGTAACATTGTATTATTACTTACAAAGCTTTATATCAGACGACAAGCATAATCACTTCATCATAAATAGAATTTAAAGTAAGGCTATGACATTAGAATCATTCACTTCTTCAAGTAACAGATAATAGTGACTCATTATTTCTGTCCATAATTATAATATTTACCTTTTCCATATATAACATGTTTTTAAATAATTAAATGTTCTTCAGTTACATAATTTTTGGATATTGCCACTTGTTTATTGACTGATAAAGTAGGTAGGCATCCAACAGTTTTATCAAGCTCATCATTTTATTTGAAAATATGGCGAGACTATAATTTATGGAAGGGATTTCAAGGTCACGGTGCCAATTTCAATACCTGACGCTAATGTACGACCGGTTCACAAAGGATTTTAGAGAAGACTTAACAATTAAGCGGCTACAACAAATGAGACTACTAAGAAGTTCCTGTATTTGTAATTACGAGTATTAAAAGACTTGTTAACCTTGTGCAGACTACCGTGATGTTGTCCTCCGATGTAATATATGTTGAAGAAAGACTTCTGTTATAATAGGAACCTCTATCGCTCGATCCAGATTGAGATTAAGGCATATTATAATAATTGCCGCGAACTGTATTATAAAAGTACCAGTGACATTGGTTGCAATAATCGCAGATGTTACTGAAGCTTCGGCTGTTCAGGGGTATGAGTATTGTAGAGACATATCCATAATAAAAACGATAAACTTACACAACCGGAGTACATACAAACAATAATGAAGCTATGTGGTCGAGGCTGAGAGGGTTTTTGCTACCTTATCATGGTTCCAGAGACCAACTATTATGGAGCCATATGGATGAGTTCGTCTACCTTATGCATCACGATTTTAGAACTTCTAACCTCGACAAGCTTTTGGACCATGTAAAAGAAGTGTACCCACCGCAATTCTTTGGTGTGGTATAATATATATTTACTCTATACTAACTGTCTTCTGATTGACTAATATTTCTCAAGGTCACTTAGGATCCGTTCAAAGGTCGTCCAAAAATTATAGTCTCGCCGACAATATAATATGAAATTGAGTATAAAAAAGTTATTGAACTAAATCATAGCAATCTCATCTTGGAACTAATTATAAGCCTATACTATAGTAACACATATAGACAATATAAAGACAGTTGATTAGATATTTGCAATCACTGTAGTCTATAACTTAGTAAAAAGTTAGCATTCTATACAGAATTAGCAAGAAATTTTAGATCTTAGTCATTTTTGAAACGTCAGTCAACTACACTAGAATATTAATAACCGTTCTATTGTTCATGTTGCCTAAATTCTGCACTTCAATTATCCATTAATTTTAAAGAAGCAATCAGGATCGTTTTTAGTTGACATTACTTGATCAAGAATATGATGGAATAGATAATTGTTGAACTAGCAATGGATGAATGCAAGTCAGGTAATAAGTTTTTGTGAGAAAGTATAGTATAAGAGTAAAGATTATGGTTAACATGCTTTGCAACCAACAATCTCAAATGAGAGTATACTTCTGTTCATCATTACTTACCGAATTATTCTAACGAAATACTTTAGATGCTTACCTGATCATATATTCTTTCTGGATGCGCAATATTATCCTGGGCGCTCAATGTTATCGCTGTATTTATAACACGCTCTGCCAATTTCTTGAATTACATTTTATGTTACAAAGAATTTGAAAAACGAAAAATTGTCATAAGAAATTTTCACATTGTATAATACGACTTGTTAATTAAAATAAGTTTTCTATGTAACTGGTCACAAAAGAACCTTTATATTTAGAGGATTTTTTTATCACAGCTACTTTTGTGTACCCAAAGTTTTAAAATTTTTTAGCCAAATAGTTACATTAAATGAGAAAACATTCGAGGTTCCGTATTAATACATTTAGTATGGTTGTAGACAACCAACATATATATATATATGACATGTTCTTCGGGCGTCATTAGAAATAAGACTTCAGTCATTTACAATCGCAACCACTTTTATCTGTCTTAATTCACGTAACTTTCGGACTTTTGAAACTACTTTTCAGTACCTCTCTAACTTCTGCATATTCTCTTATGCTCCTCAACAGTATTCAGTAGTGTATGTATGTTAAACAATTTTAAGAACTTGCATCTGCCTCGATGAACTACTGATCCGATACATTTCTGCCACTGATCTTTTCTTCGTTATCCTTTCACTTTTTTAAAAAATCTACTGCGTTTTATACGCTTCTATTTTCAAAACAAGCAATAGTCGTGTGTTCTTTTATCATTCGTAGTACGTGTTGTAAATATGTTTTGATCCGCTTTTCCGTTGGCTGCGATTTATGTTTCAACATTTCACCGTATGAAATTAACTATCTCTTATCATTCACATTACTTTCTATAACAGTATATCATTTACGTACATTTCTCATCTAATTCAAATGTTACAACACGTTAATAGGTTGTTCAGTTAGATTTTTCAAACGCATTCTATAGTATATATAATCTTTGAGTTACAAGATAAGAAACATCCTGAAATATAAAATAGAAGCCATAAGGTTGTTCTAAAGTATCAGCCGGAGTAAATATAACCTTCTTACTATAACGTGATCATAATTCTCTTTCATTTAATTGACCATAAAGCTTTCTCTCTCTCTCTGACCTCTATAAGTCATCTCATGTAGCTATAAATAACTGTTGTAAAAAATTTTGCAAATCTTAATAATAAATTTAATGAATAATTTTGCTCAAACCAGAGGAGCTTATTGCATTACTGTTGCTGATACGCTTGTCATGATCCATAGTAACTCAATTTATTTTTTAATAAACAAAAGCCGTTTTGTTTTATGGATCACTTATGTTCTGAACGAAAATGATCTATCAACATAGAAAGTATTACGGTACAAACTGTTTGTTCTTCTTTTTATAACTTGTTACTTCTAATTGCATGCGATTAATAACTTCCTTCCCTTTTTTGTAATTTGTAATCTGATTGTTCCAGATGCAAACCAACTTCTGTAGACAATTGTTTAATCTATACTTCGATTTGTTATTTTCTTCCAAGCTTATATTCAGATAACTCCGCCTGTAGCTCCTCTGGGGGTTGCTGCCGGTCTCAAGCCCGGATAAAGGAGGAGGGTTGGGCATGGGGTTAGCGACCCCATCCCGTAGAAAATCAACTCGCTAAAAAAACGCTAGCCAGAAAAAATCATTCAAACCATTTAAACTCTGCTCTGGGAGTAAAAGGAATAATTATGACGTCTCATGATGAAAGCCGAGTTCATTCGGAAGTCATGAGGCCGATGCACCTTCTTACAACCAGAGCAACAATTTTTATAGGTACATGGAATGTCCGAATAATGTGGGAAACCAGAAGATCCTTCCAAATTGCTGCACAAATGAGAAAATACAACGTGGAAGTGCTTGGAATCAGTGAAACGCATTGGACGCAAGTTGGACAACAACGACTGTCTTCAGGAGAACTTCTGTTATACTCCGGTCATGAAGAAGAAAATGCCCCACATACACAAGGAGTTGCATTGATGCTGTCCAGAAAAGCACAAAATGCACTTATTGGATGGGAATCTCATGGACCGAGGATCATCAAAGCCTCCTTCAAAACAAAGAGAGAGGGCATTACAATGAACGTCATCCAATGCTATGCGCCTACCAACGACTACGATGAAGACGCTAAAGACCAATTCTACGATAGGCTGCAGTCGATCTTCGGGAAGTGCTCAACCAAAGACCTGACCATTCTGATGGGAGATCTCAATGCCAAGGTTGGAATGGACAACACTGGAAACGAAGACGTCATGGGACAACATGGACTGGGAGAAAGGAACGAAAATGGTGAGAGATTTGCAAACCTATGTGCCTTCAATAAACTGGTCATAGGTGGCACCATATTTCCACACAAAAACATACACAAAGCCACTTTGATTTCACTAGATCACACTACACAGAATTAAATCGACCATATCTGCATCAACAAAAAGTTCAGGAGGACGATCGAGGATGTGAGAACCAGAAGAGGAGCTGATATAGCATCCGATCATCATTTGCTGGTCACCAAGATGAAACTAAAACTCAAGAAGCACTAAACAACTGTGCGGACAACATCACAAAAGTTTAATACGGCCTTTCTTCGAGATGCTGACAAACTCAACAAATTCAACATAGCCCTCAGCAACAGGTTCGAGGCCTTTCATGATCTACTCAATGGAGAGGGAACTACCATGGAGAGAAACTGGAAAAGTATCAAGGAGGCAATCGTTTCAACATGTCAGGAGGTTCTGGGCCAAAAGAAACATCATCACAAGGAATGGATCACTGTTGGTACACTGGATAAAATTGAAGAAAGAAGGAACAAGAAGGCAGCAGTCAATCTCAGCCGAACAAGAGCAGAAAAAGCCAAGGCACAAGCCGAATACACAGAGGCAAACAAGCAAGTGAAGAGGAGCATCAAAACCGACAAACGTAAGTATGTGGAAGATTTAGCGATGACAGCGGAAAAGGCAGCAAGAGAGGGAAACATGAGACAACTGTATGATACAACAAAGAAACTTGCTGGAAATTACCATCAACCAGAAAGACCAGTGAAAAACAAGGAAGGCAAAGTAATTACAGACATTGAAGAACAACCAAACAGGTGGGTAGAACACTTCAAAGAACTCTTAAATCGACCAGCTCCACTGAACACACCCAACATCGAAGTAGTACCCACAGACCTCCCAATCGATGTTGGCCCACCAACAATTAAAGAGATCAGCATGGCCATTAGACAAATCAAGAGTGGCAAAGCAGCGGGACCAGACAACATCCCGGCAGAGGCCCTAAAAGCAGATATAGCAGTAACTGCCAAGATACTTCACATCCTCTTCAGTAAGATTTGGGACGAAGACTGGAAAAAAGGACTTCTGATCAAGATACCAAAGAAAGGCGATCTGAGCAAGTGCGACAACTACAGGGGCATCACTCTCCTCTCAATACCAGGAAAAGTCTTCAACAGGGTATTGTTAAACAGGATGAAGGATTGCGTAGACGCTCAACTTCGAGATCAACAAGCTGGATTTCGTAAGGATAGATCGTGCACAGATCAAATCGCAACTCTACGTATCTTTGTGGAACAACCAATCGAATGGAATTCATCACTTTACATCAACTTCATCGACTACGAGAAGGCATTTGATAGTGTGGACCGGACGACACAATGGAGGCTTCTTCGACACTACGGCGTGCCTGATAAGATAGTCAATAACATACGGATCTCCTATGATGGACTAAACTGCCAAATCGTCCACGGAGGACAACTCACCGACTCGTTTGAAGTAAAGACCGGTGTCAGGCAAGGTTGCTTACTCTCACCCTTTCTCTTTCTCCTGGTCATCGACTGGATCATGAAGACGTCAACATCTGGAGGAATGCACGGGATACAGTGGACAGGCAGGATGCAACTTGACGATTTAGATTTCGCGGATGATCTGGCTCTTCTATCACAAACGCAACAACAAATGCAGGAGAAAACGACCAGTGTAGCAGCAGCCTCAGCAGCAGTAGGTCTCAATATAAACAAAGGGAAAAGCAAGACTCTCCGATACAACACAATATGCACCAATCAAATTACACTTGACGGAGAAGCTTTGGAGGATGTGGAAACCTTTACATATCTGGGCAGCATCATTGATGAACACGGTGGATCAGATGCAAATGTGAAAGCGAGGATCGGCAAAGCAAGAGCAGCATACTTACAACTGAAAAACATCTGGAGCTCAAAACAATTGTCAACCAACACCAAGGTTAGAATTTTCAATACAAATGTCAAGACAGTTCTATTGTATGGGGCGGAGACGTGGAGAACTACGAAAGCCATTATCCAGAAGATACAAGTGTTTATCAACAGCTGTCTACGCAAGATACTTCGGATCCGATGGCCAGACACTATCAGCAACAATTTACTGTGGGAGACAACAAATCAGATTTCAGCGGAGGAAGAAATCAGGAGGAAGCGCTGGAAGTGGATTGGGCACACTTTGAGGAAATCACCCGATTGCAACACAAGACAAGCCCTCACATGGAATCCTGATGGTCAAATGAGAAGAGGAAGACCAAAGAACACATTTCCCCGAGAAATAGAGACAGATATGAGAAGAATGAACAAGAACCGGATAGAACTAGAAAAGAAGGCCCAGGACAGAGTGGGTTGGAGAAAGCTGGTCGGCGGCCTATGCTCCATTGGGAGTAACAGGCGAAAGTAAGTAAGTAAGTAAGTTATATTCATATATGAATGATATGAATGCAGTAATTTAACTATTTGTAATTAAAACTACACTAGCTTTGGACAACTAATTGTTTTCCTTTTGTAATTTATCATAATAGCATTTTTAAATTACGCGTTAGAATCAGAATATAAATTACCGATGTACCTACTTTTGCCCCTACTTAAACACTAATATGATAGAATACTGAAAATGTTTTCTACATTGATTAACCATTCTAACATTCCTTATATTATGTATTGAAGAATATGGTCTCAAGGGCTATATGTAGAAATAACAATTAATAAAATCCGTATTGGGTGAAGACGGTAATCTACCTGAGACAATGGAATAAAGGATTGCGCCGGCTCAGTGGTCTAGAGGCTAGGCATCGGCGCTCGAGGCAAAATGTTCTGGGTTCGAGTCCCACATGCGGACTGATGAGTCCCATTCTAAGGTGAAACGGGCGTCCAGTGCTTCCAAGTTTCCAATGGTGGTCTAGCTTACATTGAATCATGAATCCAACTATTAAAATCACTACAATCCGCACAAATCCCCGTTCTGATAAAAACTAACACTTTGGAAAACATTTTACATGATTAATTAATTATTTATATTCTTATTTACTTATAGAGAGAGTGTTGCCCAGAGTTTATGGAACATCAATACTCATATTGACACATTGTATTATAAATAGAATATAAGTAACTTGTAATTTATTTCTTTAAAAAATTATACATAAGTCACCTGCAAAATATATTATTGTTCGCTAATCGGTAAAGCCTAATCACAAGATTAAACTCACTGAGAAATCACGTTCCAATCCTGAAATCCCTTGTAAATAGTCCAATATCTCAATATTTCCTTCAATATGTTCCTATAATAATCAAGTTAATTTATTTAAAAAATATTTTTCATATTATCAACTTACAGATGCATATTATTGAAATCATAAAAAAGAAAACCTTTCATCAGGCATTGCTTTCCTATTTCAAATATTCACTAACATTTTAGTGAAAGCCATCAATTCTTTAATCCACTGATGCCTGTAATTATGCCGAATTTTTGTAATTTACTTTTATTAATGATACACTATGACGTAGAAGACAGTTCGAATCAGTCCCATAATCCATCTCCACCTATGAACATGAGAACGTTTTTTTGTCGAAAGACACATCAATTTAGTTAGATGTGCAAATAGATGGATGAGAGAATTAATGTTTGATTGGCCTCTATTGAATCCCATTTATAGAAATGAAATTCATACCAGTAAACTTTATCGTTTTGGTTAGAACTAAGTTATCAGTCAAACATAAATATGCGTAGAATATCATAACTAACGTTAACCTTGAAGTTTATATATTAAATATTGTCCCTTTATATGAACATATCATTTCTTCTATAACCAAAACTTTAAAGAAGTTCTAGATATGTTGTACTTAATGGCCGCTAAAGAATGACGATACAACATTATCATTTTAATTGTTCCTTTAGATAGATTATGCATCTATCCACTCTAGAATTAATAAAAAACTTTATTTTATCTATCTCCAAATAAAAAAATCATTTCAGTAGAACTAGTTATTATATATTGTAAGCAAAGATGTATAGTGGCTAGCAGTGGCTAGATTCAAACAAACAATACTAAATGAAATTAAACTTCACCCTATCGCACAAGGAAGTGGCTATCATGACTCAGTGGCCGAGTGGATAACGCGATAGCGTTCGAAGCGCAAGGTACTGGGTTCGAGTCCCAGAGTGAACATCAACTCTGAGATGCAGATACGTCCCAAATAGGGCGGAACGCGCGTCCTGGATTCCACTGCTAGCCACTATCAATCTTCGCTTACATTGCTTGTGAATTAAGGCTGTATCGAGGCAATACGCACAGTATGTACATATGCCAATTAGAGACTGACCAGTTTCAGTCTTAACACATCGATGGGAATATTCAAACAAACAATACTAAATGAAATTAATTATTATATAATTTATCGATTTCTTATTTTAATTTGATATCCCAAGACGGATGGAAGTTTTTAAGGTAAAAGAATCGTTTAGATTCATTTATTAGGTACTGATGACTCCATTCCTCTTTAATCCAGGTAATCACTGTTCAGAATATAACAGTGTAATAGGTCATGTGTAACAATATATATGCAACATGATGTGTGATCACTAGACTAAGATGAAACTACGGTGAAGAATAAGTCCAATTACTAAGTATTAAACTGTAAGCTTCTGTGTTTCTTTATTTATAAAATTAGTAATTTATGCGCTTAATAAGTAATAAACGGTCGTTGGTAATGTCTGGATCGGGCGTTACTCTATGATGAATCAACCAACTATATTTAATTCTCTGTTCTAGCAATCTTTCATAAGAACAGTATAACATTTGTGCTTATATTGTCTTCTTTTGCAACAATGAACTAAAGTTACGTAATAGACGAAGTTTGGATATGTTATATCGTATGGACTCGTAATATATATGAACGTGCAATTAGAGAGGAGTGAATTTATTGATCGGACGCAAATGATGATTGAAATCGTACGAGCAGTCTTGAGTGCTATTCGGTCCTTCCTATCTGTCTAGCCCAGCCAGTTGAGTCCAGAACACAAATAACAGCCTCAGCAATATGAATCATTATTTACAAGCATACTGGGTTTTTATACAAACCAAAGTAATCAATAAACTGATTATAACTCAAGAATCGTATGATCATAAATCAAAGATCAAAATAATAGAAAACACGAATATGAATAATTTAGTTACGTAACAACTGTACAATAAGAAATAGTCATAATACATTGGTCGATAAATAGTCCTTAGAGTTATCATTCATAATTCACCAGGGGATATAACAGGATATTTGCCTTATATTTGATATTTTTTACTAAGGAAAATCCTCTCTAATAATCGGAATTTTTAATTTTGTGGTAGATAGCTTCAAATTTTATTCAAAATATCGTACACATATTTCCTTAATATTGCAGTGAACGAGTATACAAGTGGGGACAATGGAACGTACGTGGAAACAAAATTACAGGACATCTTACTAAAAACTGAAAATCATACCGTAAATACTTAATTTGCAAAATGTCAATTAATTGTCTAAAATTCGACTGTTCCTTTTGCAAATATTCGGTCAGTCGTCTCAGACTTTACTGTTCTTTCGTTTCCACACTAATCATTTCTTGTTATCGTTTTCCTTCTTCGGTCTTCTTAACCTTCTGCCACCAGGCATTTACCTTTCGACTGGTGATAAATACTACATATATCTGTCGACATCAGTAGCACACATCACAACGTTACAAATATTTTTTTTTATTCACATGCTATTAGATAAATATTTGGTGATATTTATTTCGATGTTTTTTGTATTCATTAATAAACTAATAATTAGACTCACTTTCAAAATTTTTGTTCGTTCCATCATTCCTTCTTGTATTGTATTGTCCTACAACAACAAAAATCACAGTAAATATTTCACAGTTCTTTTAAACAGTTTGGAATAAGATTCACATATTGGTGTTGATATTTTCTAGTTCATGATATCAAGTTGAAAGTTTGAAACATTGAATGCCCACTTAATGATCCGACGTTGCCGTATTCTCTGAAGACATTATATGAGGTTTAGAGTGTGTACCAATGACGAATTTTAGGCAAAAACGTAATATCTGTCTAGTTTATCCCGGCTTTCAATAGGTCTCTAATTTACATCAATTTAAAGTGAACAACATTTACAATCCCTTTTCCGATATAATGTTAGGTATTTAGGTCTTTTATTGCAGGTTTTTTTTAAAAGTTGTCTTGCATATCCATGAGTGTGATTAAAGTAAAATAAAATGTCATCAGATAACAAAACATTAAGCCTTCCTCAAACGCCGTTCGTGAAGTCTCTTAACCTTTATATTCATCCTTTTTGGGTCAACGACCCATAACTTTGATTCATTAGACTTGAAAATTATTTCCTGGCCAGCTGTATCCAGTCACATAAGCGTAAGCCTTCCAGAAGTCTTAGTTAAACCAGATCGGGAAAAGTCGTGTGACGTAATAAAGCAAGACCTAATTAAAGCCATCTCTTCCATCGACCAACATGTTATTGACCAGCTTCTCAATAGAAATCAAGTGGGGGGTGAGACTCCTGTGATGCTAAAAAGGGTATATGGAATGTCTACTTAGGCACAGGAAAGTAAACAATAACTTATTTTACTATCTTTGACTTCTCCGACTTCCTTTGAGTAAAGAACAATCTTAGAGTGTGAAGGTGAGTGTGAAGGTACCTAAAGTTCAAATCTCACAGGAAGCATCAGTTGCATCAAGACTGCAAGTATGCTTAGTCTACGTGTCAATTAGCACAAACTTAAGTACAAGAATTTCTGCTAACTACCTCCAACCACCTAACTATCGTCTAGTGAATAAAATACGAAATTAAGTTTAGTTAGATTGAAAAGAGCGAAAACAATAGTTTAATCAGAGCAACATGAATTCCCCTTATTTAATGGGGTTCTCAGCAACCTGTAATGTTCGAATAGTGTTAGAAGTATACATTTAAATTTATATTTACGTTTTAAGTCTTTCTATTGATCTTCCACTTTTATGTTATTTTTAATGATTGATTGTTTCATTTTTCATACAAATCAATGAGATGGTGATAAATATAATTCGTTTAACCAGTTTTTTCTAAACTACCCACAGCTTTTTATTTCTAACTAGGTATTCTTGATTTGATTTGTTTTGTGGATATGAATCACCCTTTACTAGTTGACTGGATTACTTTGAATTCTCGTTCGATTTCGAAAGAGCTTGCTAATAGGGTACATCACAACCAAAGGCTGTTATTTCATTATCCTGATCCCATTTTAAGTTAAATTAAAACATCTCAAATAATCTTTAAAATATAAATTTTACTTCTCTCTGGTATCAATATTACAATGTGTACTTAATGATCACGATATTCAGTTATGCGTTAATAAGCTTTTTGATATTGTTAACTTCATGGAGAACTTGTGTTGATCAATACATCAATTACTCATTTCACTGAAACGGAAGCTCAAACATTTGACGAAATAATCTAGATTAAATTTATTTTATGTCTGAAGCAATTCAAGTCACAAAATATAATTAGTTTCTGCAACTAGAGTGATAGTTAAAAGCTATGTGATGAAGCTATTTGGTTAGAACCAATATGCACAAAATCTTGGACACGAGTACACTGCTTTACTGATGGTGTTTTCATGTCATTTCAAACTCATAAGATTCTCATTGTCAGAATCGTCATGGAAGAGAATATACTTTGGTCTGGTACATGATTACTAAACTCACCTCATTATTAGTGCAGAATGGATTTGAATATACATCACATAATCGTCTCTCATTTTGAATCCTTTCTTTTTGAATAGATGAAGAGAGGACATCATGCTGAATTTTTCCAACAAGAGCATCCTTTTATCAAGAGTAGTTTTAAGAAAGTATTAAATGAGATCAGGTTGTTGAGTAGTTTGGTGATGTTTATGCAAGGACTTGAGATTTTGTCATTATATCAGGATAATCTTTACGCCCTTATCAGGGATTAAAATTCTCGACTAACCCTTGCATAACTAAAGCTTATAAAGCCACTTACAATTGATATTAAATTATTATTATTGTACCGTTAGCTATCAGTATAGTAACAGTGATATGATATGTTCTATTTAAGTCTCATAGACTTATATTTTGTGGATTCCAATTTAAATGGAATCAGAATTTCGAACTCTATAACTTTAACATTACTTCAGACTTACTAGTATGAACAAAGACAGGTGATGTTGATAATTTCGTCTAACTGATTAACTCTGGATCATATGATACTAGTTATTATTCTTCAGAAGCGGAAAAGTTCAGAATAACTTCTTAGAAATTTAATGACTTCGGCAAACCTACGTTCTTTATCATCATTCTGCAGCAGTACGAAATTTAATACTAATTGAGATGTGTATTCAAAAACAATTTACAGCCTTGACGTTGTTTCGATCCTTATGAAATAGTTCCTTTATTATTTATACATAAGTGTCATGGACACCTTTCATGTTAAGGTGTCAAGACCTAAAACGGTAATATGACGTAATAACAAATGACATTCTTAGTCTCTAAAAGTTTTAATTTCATTTAAATATTCAAACAAGGCAAATTTTAGAGCTAGTTTCATTCTATTGTGTCTTATGACACGATATTTGGATTTCCCATGTTATTCAAGGTTAGCAACAAAAATTAAGCTTCATTATGTCATCTTTTAAACATGGAACCAAAATAACACTGATTTTAGAACTAAATAAAATATGCTGTTGTTTTTAATGACCATTATTATCGAAGTGTCGACTTTTTCTGGAATTGCTAAAGGAAAAGCTTCTTTCTTATTAATGCTTCCTTTTTATGAAACTCAAAACTAGGTGTTCAGTCCCAGTACATGGAATGTATCTCACTTACACAAAACTTTTGGAAATCTATATCAGTTTTCGAGTTACATTTTAATATGTTCTAGTCTCAGTTGTGTGACTACCTCATTATTAAATGGCACAGATATTTGAGAAGCAATGTATGCAAAAATGACAAACACTTATAAAAAATATATATTCTTCAACCAAAAATAGGTTAGAGGAAGCTACTTAATGTTTCTAATTTAATGGCATTTGTAAGACTTCATGTGAATTGAGCCTTTATGTTGATATTCAGTGGAACTTCGGAAATTCGACTTTAACCGAGCGACTAGTTAAAGAGTAATTTATATTTCTTTGAATTATGACAACTAGATACTTTGTGAACTTGTAGTATCTTTTATGTTTATGTGAATTACTGCTATGATAGACACAAAGGTTTCTGACTCAATTCAGGATGAGACACAACGCATCTTAGTTTTAAGTAGTTTTAATCTTATCTAGTTTCTTATATTTTCACTCCTAATGCAATGTAATAGAATGTTTATTGACTATAAAATATGTTAAATTTATTAAATTGATTTCACTATATGCTAATTTTCTTAAAGTTTCTATACAAGTTAATGATAAGCGTGTCCTTTTCGTTATCTGCCAGTTACACACATTTTTGTACTTCATTATAAATTCGGTCACTTTTTTATCATTTACTGGACGTTAATAAATCAAATAGATTATGTTTAAGAAACCAGTTTGATGATGATTCATATTGTGCCAACAAACAAAATCGCATTAAATCTATTAGGTGTAAGGTAGATTGCCTTGTAAAACTTGCTCTCCAAACTCATGAGCATTTTAAACTTAGTACAATAATGATTTTAAGCTTTAGTAGGTAAAGTTTAAATAAACAATGAATCAAAGAAATAGAAAATAAACAAATTTGTTGAATGTAAATTATTCAGCTCATCTTGTTTACGTAATTAACTGAAAAACCATTTGATAGTTGTTATTTTACAAATTGAGTGAAGTTGGAAAACGTAGACCATTAGATTCGAATTTAGTGGTTAAAATGTTTCATGTTCACTATCACAATGAATGTTCCTGGATTCAGGTTCATAGTGGAGTACAAGAGTATTTGTTTCGGAAATAAATTATGATGAAGGTTGTTTGTTCAGCACAAACTTATTGTAAATAAGATGGCCCTCCTTAATTATTTGCCAAGATTGTATTTACTTAAATTGTTCTCTAATTAATATTTTGTTCTAAAATATCATGTACCATTCACCAGCCATATTTACTAGTCTAATGAATGATGCATTGAAATGTGATGCTAAAATAACTAGGTTTCAGTTTACTTGTAAATGGTGGAGAAGTTTTGTAGCTCAAATGGATGACTTTAATGGAGTTTTGTTCTCTGACCTGAATGATTTGGTCGTGTCGTGGAGAAAAACCATCCAGATCAGAGAACAAAACCCCATTAAAATTACTTGTAAATAGTCATTTCAATCTGACAGATCACAAATTACTTCTATATATGATGAAATTTAAAATAAATTTGTTTTGTAAACGAAAACTTGTTCAAGATAAACTTACATCAATTGTTTGTAGTTCTGGCATGATGCTAAAATAAAAGAAGAAAGATAACTTAGCAATTGAATTTCTATTATTTCTAATGGTCTTAAGTAAGAAAATGGAATATATACTAAGTACATCTACATGAATAACATGGCAATTGTTTGTTTCATAGTTGAAATGTGAAACAGCTAATTCATGATGATTAAAGATTGTTCAATAATATTAACTACATTATTTAGTTATGATAAATTTGATCCAGAGATTCAACGACAAACGAATTAGATCTTATTTATTTACAGAAGAAAAAAAATTTACCCAGTTACTTAAAAATGAAGAAATCTTGCATTTTTAAATTCATATATACTGGTTTTACATTTGATGTTAAGAGTTGAAATCGATTAGTCACTTTTGGCATATGTGCATCAGTGAATCGAGTCCCGGATCTAACGTTGACACTGCGATAATGCAGTTCATCCCGATGATGAGTCCATAATAGGGCGAAACATGCGTCCTGGATTCCATTGCTGACCACCGTCCATCTCTTCTTAAAATGTTTGTGACTTACTTGCAACATCGAGGCAATTCGCACAGGATACAAGTATGCCATTAGAGACTGATCAATTACAGTCGTAATCATCAAAATGAAGATTCAAAAAACTAATGCAAGATGAATTTAACATCACTCATTTCACAAACCAGTGGCTATTCGGACTTAGTTGCTTATTGGATAATGTGACGACGTTTGAAGATGACGTTACAGAGTTCGAGTCCTGGGGTGAACACCAAGTCGGAATTGGGCATACCAAGCTGACGAATCCCTTATAAGACCAAAGGTTTGTCCTGTATTCCACTGCTAGACGCCATCTGTTTTTGCTTAAAATGTTCCACATTATCGTTAAATAATGTCTGAACTAAAACTAGAAAACCTGAAACAGAAGTTTTGATTCAGCGATAAAACTATTTAAAATTCAGTTATTTCCCACTTCCATAAACAGCTTTGGGTTTAGTAACTGAAGTCAGACACTGAAGAATACTTTAGTAAATTTCATTCTTATATAGGTTTTCTTACAGCCTAGGTTATATTTTGAAAAATACACTATGATTAATTTCACATGCAAGATTATTACGTACTGTTTACCTATTTACTCAGTTGTCTTCTTTCAACGTAATTTTACTGAGTTCAATGTAGCTAGTCAGACAAAGTAATGAATTATAGTCAGTTTTGAACTCCTATTTGCATAAAAACCTGTTCTTATAGTTTATATAAACTGGATTATAACTTAAGTAATTATTTTTTAGTTTTAAAAAATAGATCAGTTTAAATATGTTAATTTATTTCACGGTTATGTATGTGTCTGGATGGCGGTATTTCTGAAGAAAAAAAATCAACATCTTTTCTAAATGTTAGTAGTGGTAACTAAGCAATAGCAATTAATACTCTCTTTAAATTAGCATAAACATTTTGTATTTGACAAATTTGTTTTTCTGACTCTTAAAACCTTAATTTTAAACGATAATCATTTCAGATGGTGTAGAAGATTTATAGCTCAGGTGGGTTATTTTGATGGAGTTTTATTCTCTGAGCTGAATGGTTTGGCTGTGGAACTTTCATCGTCCTTGTGAACGACATTATCAGCACAAACTTTGGGTAGAAGTGGAGAAATTCAAACACTTCACTTCTACCCGAAGTTTGTGCTATTTAGGGCTCGTAAGCTGGATGTACCTGCATCTCAGATTTAATGTTCACTCTGGGACTCGAACTCAGTACCTTTCGCTTCAGACGCCATCGCATTATCTGAGATACAGGTACATCCAGCTGACGAGTCCCGAATAGGACGAAACGCGCGTCCTGGACTCCACTGCTAACCACTGTCCATCTTTGCTTACAATTATTTCAATTCTGTTTATTAATAAAACACATGGTACACTATTTATCTATTTTGAAATACTAAGCTATTCAGTGTTATCCAGTGATCTACTTAGTAACATATTAACATTTGAAGGGATAAGTTCTAGGCTTAAATCTAACTGAAGATAACCACAGTGAAATATATTTATATCCAACTGACGATTGTCAAACAAAGAAGTTTTATTTTAAGAATTTATTCACTAGTTTAGCAACTTTCATTCTCAGAATGGGGGTTTGTGGAGATCGTAGTAGTTTTAATAGTTGAAATCATGAGCCGATTTTAGCTAGACCACTATTGAAAACCTGGAAGCAATAGACGGTCGTTTTGTCCCAGTAAAAAAACCCTCAGCAGTGCGCATCCATGATACATCACTCAGAACTCGCGCGCGAAACCAAAGATCCTGGATTTCAGTCCCGCCCTCAGGATCATGGAAATGCACTGCTGAGAGATCACATGCTGGGATGAAACGGTCGTCAAGTGCTTCCAGGTGTTCAATGGTGGTCTCGCTTAAATTGACTCATGAATTCAACCACCAAGATTTGTATTCTGTTTACTATTGAGATGTCGATAACAACATGATGTTTTTTTATTAGCTGGATAATATGATAAATTTTGAAAAGTAGCATCACAATTTCTTTTCAAAATCCTTATTGATTTTAATTTCAAAATCCCGACCGTAGGATAATTTAAACAAATTATTATTGTGGGCAACGTCATGTGTAAATGATTGTAAAACATTTACAAAACTAAGAATGCAGTTTAAAAGTTCTTTTCCACCGAATTTTAAAGAATTTTATTTCAATAATGAACATGAATTTACCAAGTCAGTGCATTTGTTAAGATCATTCAACTGAAGGTTTCTAATATCAGCTGAAAAACTGTTGAATATGAAGAAGCAGCAAACAATTATTTTGTTCTGGTTTATGATTCACTTATTAGTAATAATGAACCCACGACAATACGGTTGATCAAACAGATCTTTTAGTTTCCAAGATAATATGACATTAATTAGCCATTGTTTTATTTCTCTAATGGTTATTCTACGACATGACAAAACTATCACTGAATTCCATAAATGATAAATATATTACACTCGGATCAATGACGATTCTTCATTATAACTTCGATAATCCTTGAAAATAAATATGGGTAAGTAAACGATTTTCTTTTCTTCAACAGTTTCTATAACTCAGCTATAAAATTAATAAGCTAAGTAGCAAACAAGATAAATTTTTGTTATATTGTGTGGTCACTCGAATCTGTTACTGATATACAAGCTTTATATACATCAGCCCGAAGAAGATACATGAGTAAGGAGGCCGAAAGTGAGGAGGAAAATTTATTGACTAAAATTGGATGAAGAGTATATACGCACTCATTAATGAATATATAGCTTTTTCCTTTAGAACTGAGAGTCACACTTTTAACAAATAACATATGAATCTTAAGAAAATCAATCCAAATCTTGATCTTGTTGTGCGCTTATCATTTAGCCTGTCTAATTAGTGCAGAATAACAATTTCATTAGGGCGTTACAGTATATTCTCCCAATTCATTGTTGAGAATTAACTGTGAAAAATTTTACTTTCAAACTGAAAACATATACATCAAATGTAAGTGTTTTTCACTGCTTTTTTGACGTATTTGAAAGTATTCAGTAGATTTGTTCAGTATTCAAAGTTTTGGTATTAGAACCTTATGAAAAAGGAATACTAGTACGAAGTTAGATGAAGGTATACTTAAAAGAAGAAACCCAAATCTAATGAAAACATGAATATTTTTCACCTAACTCTTGTAAAATAGCTGAAAGCATGAGTCAATTGAAGCTAGACCATCAAGGAAAACCTGGAAGCACTGGACAGCCATTTCGTCCTTTTGAAATAACTTCAATTCAATAACTGAATACAATTTCACGTAATCTACCAATATTCACTGTTTGTGCTCCTAAAACAATCATAACTCATAAATCAACTGTTGAATGACAAGTGTCCTATTAATCAGACAACTATCTAACTTACCAAAACCTTAAAAAAAATTAATTCACTCAACCATGAAGTACAATAATAGGTATGCTAACGAAAAAAAAGCAATTTCAGATTACTATCATTTGCAATTAATGTAAATTATAATATACAATAATACACAGTAACATAAATCAAATGTTGGTGAATAAATTGCTGCGTCAATGCTTTCTATTAACTACTTTTTTTATTCACTTAGCGAAAGGTACTAGGTTCGAGTCCAATAGTGAACATCAACTCTGAGATGCAGGTACATCCAGCTTACGAGTCCCAAGTAGGACGAAACACGCGTCCTGGATTTCACTGCTAGTCACCATCCATCTTTGCTTACAATAGGTTTTTTTTAAGCTTAAGTCCCTCTGCTCTTTCGTTCTTCTTTAAATCTTATATATCTGTTTAAGAACAAAATATCTTTATACTATGGACAAGAGTAAACTTAAAAGACAAGAAACGCTACGGTTTAAAATCATCTCTATACTTTTATTTGAGCAATTTTATGGGAAAAAAAGTGTAAAAATCTTTTGAATAATAGAAACTATGTGATAACTTACTACTTTCTTCACACTGAAAAGTAATTGAATTTTATTGTTTAGACTTATTGAAGATGTTTTGAACTCATGTTATAAGTAGTAAATTATACTTCTTTAAAATAATCTAGTTTTAATTGGAAATGATCATTTTCATGCTTGTATTGGAAAAATGAAATATTCTTATAAACCAGTAGACTGAATGATACTACTTATTCTATTAATTAGAAATAAATAAGCTAGGACAATGTAAGCACATGTATATACATACATACACACACACAATTGTTACTCATGTCGGTGGACAAAATAAACCAATCACAATTAAATGATTTATTGAACTGAAATATTGAACAAAGACAATCAATTGGTTGTGCTCGTGAGATTGTGAAAAAAAATTTTTTTTCTTACTCTACCTTATCTGTTTCTCTATTGAACTATTCATTATTCGGCTAATGTAACATAATAACTTTTTTTGAAAATTTCTGAATATCTAACCTGTGTAATTATAATATCATATTATATAGTTGAGAACTCCACGAAACCCCTTTCTGATAATGTCATATTAGGAGAGGATTCGTGGAGATTTCAGTATTTTTCAAAGTTCAAATCATGAGTCAATTGAAGCTAGACCACCATCGAAAACCTGGAAGCACTGGACGGCCGTTTCGTCCTATTATGGGATTCCTCAGCAGTGCGCATCCACGATCCCGCTCTCGCGAGATTCGAACCCAGGACCTACCAGTCTTGAGCCGAAGCCCTTAACCGATAGACCACTGAACTGGCATCCAACGGTGTTAATATCTAACTTCAACTGGTAGGTCCTGGGTTCGAATCTTGCGAGAACTAGTTTGTGGATGCTCACCGCTGAGGAGTCCCATAATAGGACGAAACGGCCGTCCAGTGCTTCCAGGTTTTCCTTAGTGGTCTAGCTTCAATTGACTCATGATTTCAACTTTGAAAAATGTCATATTAGTTAAATAAGAGTGAACAAAGCAAAATTAAATAAAAATCATGTGTGTTGTTCATTTCAGAAACGAATTTAGGGACTAAATAATCTTTCTGAGATTCTTTATTAAGTTACCATAGTACACTGCAGGTTAAATCTGTTTGGAATAATGTAACATACTACTAAACTAAATATACAAGTTTGAATTCTGAATAATCTCTGCGTTAAATAGTAAATTGTGTCCTTCAATGAATATATTCACACAGATACATTGTAAACATAAAACGACTTATGGTTCTAAGTAGACAGGCTCTGAAAAGAAAACACTTTGAACTTATCATATATATACATATACGTATCCTAATTAAAAAGCGCGAAACCATTTCTATTGTCTCCTTCGAACTGTCTTAACCACTGAACAAACTATTCAACATATCGATGGAGAAAACATTGATCCGTGATTAACAGATTTTATCCTTAGTGAGAATTGAAATAATTACTAACTCCAGTCACCATTTGTCAATTGATTCATGTTAGTCTTACTAAAGATATTACATTTAAACTGTGTTATTGACATTTAACTTGACTTGGAATAATATACCAAAGTTTCTTTACGAAAAACGCCCACTGATAAAAAAGAAGTCTTTTGTACGTAATCTATTTCAGTAAATCAGTATTTAAATTACTCGTGTTTTGAATTTCCTTCATTTTGCATGGATTGTACTAAATAAAGCATATATTCATAAAAGTCGTTAAATTAATCAACCTTTTAACCAGTTTATTGAAATGCAAGGAGGATTTCGCGTTTATGTATTCACTTATACTTGATTTGGTTTTATTGATTATGACTGCCAAAGACAGTTTAATTATTTACGGTATGCGGTTGTGAAGATTATTAAATATCATTGAAATCATGAACAGATCAGTGTTAGACCACCACTTAAAATCTGGGAGCACTGAACGGCCGTTTCATCCTAGTGTGGGACTCCTCAATGGTGCACATCTACAATATCGTGCATTGATTGACGTTATGTTTTATCACCCTTGGATCCCGACTCAGTGGTTTAAAAGTTAGGCCTTCGCGCACAAGACAGAAGGTCCGAGGATCGAGTCCCGCGGGAGGGTTCGTGAACGTGCACTGCTTAGGAGTCCCGTATGAAGACAAAACGGTTTGTTAGTGTTTCAAGGTTTTCAATGGTGGTCTAACATTCATCAGTTCATGATCTTAATGAAAATTTTAGACAATTATAAATCGAATGTCAATTTGATAAATACATGCATTATACATGAATGAGTTATTTGAGATTGACATAAAAACAGTTTTAATAATAATAATAATGATCGTATAATAAATAATAATGTGGGGGTAAATAAATGTGAGAGCATGTATCGAAATGTATACACTGAAACTTACAATCAGACAGTTGAGTAGAAATCTTTCCGGAGACATAATGTTACAAATTATATCAACTTCTTAATTCATAAATTATATATATATATATATATATACCTTTTGTGTGAATAGCGAAGTTGTTTATTGATTTCAATATTATGTAAAAAGTATGCATAATCCAAGATCCAAATTGATACATATGACTATTCAGAGTATTTGAAGATCAGATGTCTAGTAAACAATTTCATCATTCACTTTCTCAATGAATGAATTGTGATTATTTATAAGATTGTCTATTTGATAAATAACATTTATTTGCTATGTGAGGAGATTATTATAATTTAGAATAGCAGTTAACATCAAAACTTACTATGAGCTAATGAATTAGACAACAATTGATATCCCTTAGTTTCTGACCTGTTGTCAAAATTGGAACACAACTGTTCTTCAGACCTTTGGATATAGGGAGTATGACATCAGACGACTGACATACATAAGACTTAATTAAGTAGCAAATGTTTAGCTAGTTATCGCTTCTAAAGTGCCTTTCACCAGTACGTTCTTTGAATAGTTTCCACATGCCTGAAAAGTTTTTAGAAGATAGGAGTTTTTGAGTAAACATTGAGTTCAGACGTCTAATCCCTAGGTTTATTGAACCATTTAGCCTTCGAAATTCAATGGAGTTTTTCTTCTTGTACATTCTTTCTTTTGCCCTCAGTAATCGTCTTCGTTGTGGAAGTGTAAGTTGATCAAAACTTACAAAAATGATTTCAGTAGGACAACAAATATCAAAAGAGAACTTAGGATAACGACTGATAACATCCACAATGTTTTTCCAATAAGTCATCAGTAAATAATCCCCAGTAAGTAGTACGAAACATGTTTTTTTTTCAGATTTTGGATATACTACTAACTAATTCCATAAAGTCGATCAACATATTCATTAGTACATGTGTTTAGTCTTTTTTAAATTTGCAGTAACCACTGAGCCATGATTATTGCTGATACACATATAGCACTGTTACCCTAATTAACATCTACAACAAAGTAACTTCAAACGATATTCATGTAGTTAGAAATGAATCATTGTTACTACTATAATCTATAGAACTACCTAAATGCTTAACTATAACTATTAATGATAGTGACAATTTTCAACTGGCCACTCTGTTAAACATAGTAACTCTCAATGAATCGAAAAGATAACGATCATGTCTCACACTAATTTTTACATTTCATGTATGACGAAAAACAGATCAATGAAACGCATATATAAATAGATATCTTATTACCTAGGTCTGTGATTGAATTGAAAGATCTCACCAGAAATTTATAGCTTTCTAACTAATTGTAGTTAAGGATAAATACTTTTCTTTCATCACATATTATTAACATATACCATAAGAACTAAAATTAGGAGAAAATTACGAAATTGTACTTGTGAGATGTATAACAAACGCTCTTATATCTTACTTAAAGTACTGAGAAAAATAATACAAATTATTAAAACTTCTCATTAACTTGTACAGCAGGAAACTTTCATCTTTCAGTGAAAATACTCTCATACTAAATAAAATATTCATAAGAATTGGATTAAGGTGATAACAAAAATAAACTAAATCATTAATTATCAGAAGGGGGTTTTGTAGAGATTTTAATAATTTTATATAGTTGAAATCATGAGTTAATTGAAGCTACATCACCATGGAAAACCTGGAAGAACTAGACGGCCGTTTCGTCCTATTGTGGGACATCTCATCAGTACGCATCCACGATCCTGATTTGCGAGATCCGAACCCAGGACCTATCAATCTCGCGCGCGAGCACTTTACCGATAGACCACTGAGCTGGCATCCAACGGTGTTAATGTCTAGAAAGGCGGGATCGCGGATGAGAAATGCTGAGGAGTCCCATAATAGGACGAAACGGCCGTCCAGTGCTTCCAGGTTTTCCATGGTGGTCTAGCTTTAATTGACTCATGATCTCAACTATATAAATCATTAATTATTAGGAATAAAAACTAAGTTTGACGAAATTACGGTATTGGAAATAATTACGTTATATAGAAGATAGTTTTGACGTTTTCTAAATTTATTAAGTTATTTATTTATTTACTTATTTATTATTAGGTTTATTCAGTATTATATTCTTGGTACAATATAGAATTTTTAGAAAATAGTATTTCAGCGAGTTATCGTTTCTTATTTCTTGATCAATCCTGATGATAAATATTGAGTGATCACCAGTTAAATATTAGCATTTCAAAAGTCGACTTCTGAATAATATTCATTCTTTTCAATGCATATTGCCAGTCACCACTATGTCTTTGATAGTAAATTTTTGTAAGTTGCACAGCAAAACGTCATAAACTTTTCACAAATGCACCTGAATAGGTTATGTAATAAATTGACATAATGATCTGTTAAAACAGACAAGAAAACAGAAAACTTGTTGAAATATCTAGATGGTAGAAATAGGTATCCCAGATATGCAAGCAGGTCTCCTTGTCCTCGGGAACAATAGAATGATTTGAAAGTTTGACAGCATTTTACAGGAGCAAAATGATTATCAACAATATCCTGTATTTAACAGGAGTAGTTGAAGTGTGAATGAGACATGCAAAACTAACTAGATTAGTCTTCATTTATATTCAAAGAAATTTTTTGATAAAATCCACTTATTTAATTACCTCCGATTTTTGTTGAGAACTTTTCACATGATCAACTTTTCTGTTTCAGAACCTCCATTTCAATTATATACAGATAAACTTCTTCTCCAGGCTGTTATTAAGCAAATATACGGAAATATTATTTAGCTAGCTATCATAACTAAAGTGACTGTGCTATTTCATTAATTATAACCAAAATACAGCAGAACCTCTTCCAAGTTTAGTCCTTTCTGCTTAGCTTGCGTACAACAAGTTTCACTTATTCCAGACACCACAAGGCTATATCTCCCCAGTTCTGCAACTACTTGAATGGTCCTTACAGTCTTCCGAATTGTGTGAACATTTTATGGACCCAAATTAATTATTGCTTTGGTTGTCAGAAAAGATGTCAGCCTCTTGATTGCCGAAGAATCTTGACTTACACTATAACTCCTTCAAATGAAGGCCCTTCAACATCTATGGCAGAATTCAAATGGCTTAAATAGTCTTTTCTAGTCAGCGATCTTAACATGGTTCCTTTGTAGTCAATGGGATTGCCAGTCACATTCACAATCCTTCTCCTTTATCCTAGCTTCGGACTTGCAATAACCCAACAAGAGCTTCAGGCGGATTGCACTTCAAATACACCACTGCAATTTCTATTTTCAAGATAGTGAGAAAATACAAAACTATGAAACAAAACAGATGTATATGTAGTCTATAATTTTATAGTCTAAATAATTGTCCAGTTTTTTTAATCTATTTAGCAGAAAGCAATAAGGCGGTAAGTAAAACACTATTTCATCTGAACTTCTAAAGTTAACTATTTATCAAATGTAATCATTACTATTAATTTTTGGGTACACTAAGTTATTTAGCTTCCAAGGAAAATGTTTTGACAAAGATATTATTCTGTCAGATAACAACAAACAAAAATACATTTGTACTTTTCAAAAATTTATTTATCATATTGAAATATAATTTTTCAAATTAAGTTACCACTTAGATCAGTAAATAGTCATTAACAACTGAAGGAATATGGAATATTATGATAGTAGTCAATCTCCTGGCTATAAGCATATTCTGGTTGATTGAAAACTAAAAAGATAGTTATTCTGTTACATCTATGTCTTGTATTGAATAAAATAGTTTCATTCTTCAAAACGTAACTGTTTGCTTTTCGATAGACTAACACATGAGCTACTACGAGTTTGAACTCCAACTGATTTGGATCTGCAAAATATGGATAGATTGAAAAAAAAGTATTAAAAAAACTTAAATTAAAGCATAGATTATTAAGCTAACAAAAGAGGCATGTAACTGATCGACACATTGAAATGATTTGGAGAATTCTTAAAACTGGGAAACAATAAATACCCTATTATATACTTGTTTAAAGTGTTTTATGGATTTCATATGGTTGACAACCTGTCAGATTACACCGAGAAATATATTCATACCATTGTTGGATTTCAAATTTCAAAACAAAAAACTAGTTAGAAACTTATCATACAAAACACAACGAATTTCTGTTGTAACCTTCAGGTTTGATGAAAGGATTAATTAAATATTTAAAGAAGAAAAAAACTATTTTCCGGTAATTTAAAACTGTTCAGCAGTTGGGAGAATTGAATTATTAAGTGTGAATTCCCGATATCAACACAATAATATTGATGAAGATGTTTGAATGGCATTGAATTTATTAAAAACATTTCCGTCATATAATATTGTTAGTGAATCACCTATCCCTACTTCCAATTTAGCTGAATCAGTTGGTATATTTTCTTCAATAGAACATTTTTGAAAATGTACTATTTTGAAAGTAGTCAGTAATTTGGATAAAAATAATCATTGGATTATTTAATGTTTTCTCTTGGTTCCATTACATGATTAATTCATTAGAAGAATAACCATGTTGACTGTGAACAAACTAAGTTGTATAACTGAATTTTTCTAGAATTTCCATTATAAATAACTTCGATTGATTGCGTGATATAACATTGAACGATTAATATTGTGATGTGTGCTACTGATATCGACAGATATAAGTAATATGTATCACTAATCGAAAGTGGAATGCCTGATTGTAGAAGGTTAAGAAAATTAAAAAGAAAGGAACGAGGACAGAGAGTGGTTGATATGAAAACGAAGAAACAACAAAGCCTGAGACAATTAATGAATATTTTACAAATGAAGTATTTACTGTTTGGTTCTCAGATTTTAACAAGATATTCTGTAATGTTGTATTAAAATACATTTAATTATCCCCACTGTTGTTCTCGTTCACTACAGCATTATATAAAAGCATTTATATTTATCTGATAGTGGTAAGTGAATTTGACTATTCTTTGTTAAATAATTTAGATTCTTTGAACGGATCGATTGACATAAACTATAATAACAAAAATGAAAACCTTTATAAATCATTAATAAATACCATATTAATTTAATAAGTTGTTGTTGGATGTCATAACTCAGTAGTCTACTTTAAAAAGTGAACGCATTTGAAAGACTCTCAATATGGACATCAACTCTATGATACATGTATTTTCAGTTGAAAGTTTCTTAAACTCGATACAATACACACCTCAAATTCTATTGCTAACCAATATTAACAATATTTAATTATACAAGTGTCTCCAAAATTTACATTTTCATATCTACATAGTGAATTAATAGAATTTAAACATTTTAAATTATAACACCTAAATATGAATGAATATTTGCATTTAAAGTCGTACGAAATATTACACAATAAATCTGAAAAAAAATTTAATCATGGAATAATAGTCAAACTTATTTAATAAAACAAACAAATGAAATAATAATGAAATGTAAATGATTAAATCACATTTTAAAATGTATTACTCAATGGATTAGAATAAGGTTTAAATTCACTTAGAATTGTTTGTTTAAATCTTCCCATTGATGTTTAGTATTGCAACTGGTCAGTCTCTAATTGGCATATGTTCATACTGTGGCTATCAGGACTCAGTAGCTTAGTGGATAACGTGATGGCGTTTGAAGTGAAAAGGTACTGGGTTCCAGTCCCAGAGTAAACATCAACTCTGAGATGCAGATACATCTATCTGACGAGTCCCAAATAGGACGAAACGCGCGTCCTGGATTCCACTGCTAGTCATTATCCATTTTTGCTTAGAATAAGGTTTGTAAAAACAGGCTACTGATTTATATAATTAATTGTTTGACATTTTGCTGCATCAATAACGCTAACTATAAATGCTGTTTGACCATTACATATGCCTTAAATCCACTATTTTGTTTCGACTTATTTGTTAGCGTCTTGGTATAACAGTGATGATAAACATTTAAAGTTAACTCTATGGTGCGAAATCCATAGGTCTCTCTGTGGTGTATGCTACTTATGTTGACAGATGTAAGTGGTATGTAACTTCAAAAAGAAGTGAAATGCCTGGGAGTAAAAGTTTGAGAAGATCGAATCGAAAAGAACAGAAATATGAAAAGAAGTTGATTGTGATAACAACAGGAATGAAGGAACGGTGACGTCTGTAAGAGACAATTGATGGAAAATGTTCAAATGAAGTATTTAATGCATGATTCTTGTATTTTATGAAGACATTCTCTCATTTTGTATTGACTAATCAGTTGGTCTTCCTCACTTGGTTTCTTAGTTCACTACATTTGATGTCACTTTCGAAAGGAGAGGAGGAGAAATGAAAGTTGGGCAAACGGGAGAGAAGGCGCTAGTTGGGACGGTTTGGTGCAGGAATGGGATGTCAAATGATATTTTGGTGGGTCGGTGGTGGCTGTAGCAGTCGCCGTCAACAGAGAGGAGTCGCACGTCCGGTTACTGGGCGGACATTGGATGGCTCAGCTGGTCGCCGGAGGGCAGGCGTCGGACGTCCCGGGTGCTGGGCGGATATCGGATTTAGATGGCCCGGTAAGTTAACATCGCTACGGAAGTCAGCGCGACGGCGGACTTGATATCTTGATTTGGAACGCAGCACAGAATGCGGCAAAGTAGAAAGTGGCATGGCGAGTAAATTGATCGCAAGAGCGACTGTTCAAAGGAGGATTGTATGGTCTATGCTACTTATGTTGACAGATATTAATAGAATCAATCAAAAGTGAACTGATTTTCAAAAGAAGATTAAGAAGATTGAACTAAAGTGAACGGAAAGGAATTGGAAGAATCAGGAAGTATGTAAAGGACAACTGATAGATGTGTGATCTTCACATTTTACTACACCACCATGTTATTGTCTCTAATGGAGTTCTCATTTACTAAATATCCTTTCTATTTGTTGACATTCTACGGTAAAGTTAACTTCTAAACTTAACGTAACTGATGTTTTCTTAGATACTCAAACCATTGTCACTTATGATCAAATCTATGGGGATTAACAACAAGCTATTTAGAATTATAACCTGATGGGTAAACACTGTCAACACCAACAATGAAACTTCCGATCAACTTTGATCAAATGGTTAAAATGTTAAGTGTATCACAGGGTTTCTTTAATCGTCGTGTTCAGTTGCTTTCACTTATATATTGACGGATGGTAAGTATTAATGATGATACCATTATTAATATATGTCAATACTTTGAATCAACAATAATACAGAAAGGTAAAACACCTATCTCAGGTTTCCGAACAAAAAAAATGGACAAAATGTTTTGCTTTATATATTTCATCATATACAAGATAATATTTATTAAAATTATTTGATTTATGGTACCTTTCATTAATATTATCTGAAACGTTGTCAGTTAATTTGCGACTACGACTTTTACTTCTACTTTCTCTTCTTCTCAATGAACTCATGTATTCCTTCTTTGTTAAAATTTTTGTTGATGGTGGTGGAATAAATTTTAAATCGCCTGGTTTTAAATAACCATCATGTAAATCAGATGATTTGTTCTTTAGATTTTCACTCCAATTTATTTGATTCTTTGCTAAAATATCTGTAATATAAAACAATAATCAAATCAGCAAAGCTTTTCATGTAACCCGCCGTATGTATGTAAATTTCTTGTGGCTTTATCATCATTTAAACTGGAAGATTAAAAAGTCGATGGATAACACCACTGAATGCAAACTTTATTTAGACACTTCAGCTTTGCTTCTAAACAGAACTATCTAACTAGGAGAACGCATAATCATTTGTTCACCAAAAGACATTCTATTATACAACAAATCTACGTTTGTAGGTCTCCAGTAACGTATACGCGTGCTTGGAAACAGAATCAAATCCAGGATGAATCGGATAAGATTATATTATTAGCTCTTTTCGAAATAATTGGCAACTAAGAATTGTCGTCTTGCGTTATTTGAAGTAATTTCATCCAAGCGACACACTATTATTAAAGATAAAATTCCAGGGAAAATGATTCGAAAATTGTCAGTGAAATGGTTAGTCCCATAGCACCCATTCAATTCTGAACAATTATTTTTCGAAGTTGAGTCTCGACTAGTTCAAATAACACAATATTATCATTATAACGAAACTATAAGATATTTGTTTACTATGACTTTCCAATGATAATGAGTAACGAATATGATTGAAATGATAATTTGGTTTCTGTAGATTAAATGGTTCGAAGCTAGGAATGAAATAGATGACAAACATTTCACCCTAAATCGTACTCGTCAGATAGATATGTTAGTGTTCATATTCACATTTCGATGAGAATCTGGTATATATATATATATATGCCAACAAAGACTAATCGAGATTCTGCACTGAATATCAACAAAAAGAAAACTCTGGCCCTTAAGAACAACGATAATTTGATTTTGACTTTTATTCAATAACTAAACTACCGTATTAATAAAATTATCTTCAATAAATGCATTGTTTGAATTCACTTAGTATTGTTTGTTTGAATCTTCCCATTGATGTTTAGGACTGCAACTGGACAGTCTCTTATTGACATATGTGCATACTGTACGTATTGCCTCGATATTGCCTTAATTCATAAGCATTATAAGCGAAGATGGATAGTGGTTAGCAGTGGAATCCAGGACGCGTGTTTCGTTCTATTTGGGATTTGTCAGCTGGGAAATTCAAACAAACAATACTAAGTGAATTCAAGCTTCACCCCGTTGCACAAGCAAGTGGCTATCGCGACTCAGTAACTGAGTGGATAACGCTATGGTGTTTGAAGCGGAAGGTACTGGGTTCGAGTCCCAGACTGAACATCAACTCTGAGATGCAGGTGCATCCAGCTGACGAGTCGAAAATAGGGCAAAACACGCGTTCTGGATTCCACTGCTAGCCACTAGCCATCTTTGCTTATAAATACATTGTTTGTTTGCTTTTTACTCCTCATAAATAATTCATTAACTGAATGGTGTTTTCATGATATTTCACTAATCTCTAATTGTGACTTTACAATTATTTTTCTCAAATCATGTATCATATTACACTAATAGAAAAAACAACGACTAAATCATACATGAATATTTCAAGTTTAATTTTAAGTGAAGGCTCCTTTATAGTTGAGTATTTTGAGTAAAACAAGTAAACAGACAAACAAATAAATAGACCTTATACGTTCAAAATGAGTAGTATATTTTATTTTTACAAACATATGAGGATATCATATTACAAAATGCCTTTTAGTCATGAATTTAAAAAAATAAAAATTCAAAAGCGATTTTCAAACAAATAAATACAAATATATCATCTTAGAATCCATGTTACAAATCTACATGTATCATAGACAAAATGTATATAGCTTGAATCTACTGCAATATATCTTTTAATTGCTGAGATCATGAGTTAATTGAAGCTAGACCAACATGAAAAACCTGGAAGCACTGGACGGTCGTTTCATCCTATTGCGGGACTCTTCAGCAGTGCGTACCCACAATCTCGCCTCGCAAGATACGAACCCAGGACCTATCTGTCTTGCACGCGAACGCTTAACCTTTAGACCACTGGTGTTAATGTCTCGCAAGGCGGAATCGTGGATGCGCACTACTGAGGAGCCCCGCAATAGGATGAAACGACCGTCCAGTGCTTCCAGGTTTTCCATGGTGGTCTAGCTTTAATTGACTCATGATCTCAACTATTAAAATTACTATAATATCCACCAAAACTCTTTCTGATATTTTTTTAAAATCAAACTAACACTGATGAAAATATTCAATGGGATATGATAATATTTTGATCTTGTACAAGACTAAAACAATGTCAATCTTCATTTTGAGCTTTAAAAAAAAGAATACTAACTATTCGACATATGAAATTAAGTGCTATCGTGTGAAATAGAGTTAGGAAAACTACATTTTAGGATGATGTTTAGTAGCGAAAGCCAGAACATTTTGTTTCATTTAATTCGAGGCTCTTCAGTTAGATTTTCTTACATCCTAATGTTAATGTTTATAATCAAATCCAAATCCAACATCTACCACTTCAATATTCAGTATTTATTCTGCCAAGTGAGCAGTTTGTAATAGTCCCTTATCATAAATACCATTAAGTGAATGGATGTTATCAATCTAATTTACATGATTGACAAAACTTATTAGTCAAATATACCTACAATTTTGAAAGGAATAACATCATCCTAAGCCATATTATAGCTATCAGATTTTATCAAATAACAATAATGAACATGAATCAGTGAAATCTCTTAACATAGCAGTATTGATAAATGAAACAAATTTTAATTGGTATACACATTTGAACATTTACACATTATGAATACGCATTGCTGAGGAGTCCTATACTAGAACAAAACGGCCGTCAAATCCTTCCACATTTTTAATGGTTGTCTTGCTTAGATCGACTCATGAATTCAACTACGAGAATACTATGATCTCCACAAATCACTATACGCATTTATAAATTTGTAAATAAGAGCATACATGTAAAAACTATATAGACTATTGAAATTCATAAGGAAGAAATAAAGGAAAAGAAACATTAGAGAACATACTTAAAATTTCTTTCCATTCATTTGAAGTTGGATCATATGATTTTAGATAAGAAGTATTAATTTGTGACCATATTTTATCTAATCTTTCCATATTTTCTAATTTATTCATATCATCTGATTTACTACATGTTATCAATTTTCTATTATTTTGACCAATATCCTCTGGTTCTGATATTGACATTGTATCATCAATATCTAATTCATAATTAGGTTCACTAATATCTGATAAATTATCAATGTGGCTATTTTCAATTAATGCATTATCAATTTCATTTTGATTATCAGTACCATCTAATTGTATTGTATCATATTTGTCTATGATACAATCAATTGAATTTAATTTATTATATAATTTAAACAAAATTTCTTTTGTATCTTCACTTTTCAATTGATCAATAGTATCTTTATTTGATTGGAAAGTTTCATTCAATGTTTGATTAGGATTAGTAGATAAAATTGTTTGAATATATTCAGCTGCATATGAAATACAGTCGGTTAAATGATGAATTGAATCGGAACAATCTACGGATTCCTTATTGATTTTCTTTAAATTATTCAGCAGATTATCTTTTTTACATATTAAACCCTAAATTCAAAGGGAAGAAAGATTAAATGAAACAAGATGAGACTTTGAAGCTAATTTAATCAGCAAGAATTAAGTTTAAGAAACAGATTTTAATTTATTTTGGAGTGTGTGATCTACAGACCGCTATCCTTTAATCCCCTATAATATTTTATTATATTACTTCTGTGTTATTACTCTGTATAGAAGTATATCATTTTAATAAATAAAAGACTTATTTTTTTGGTAAGTGATTTTGTTTTCGATTTGAAATCATCCAATGACTTACGTCAGTATTCCGGTCTTAAGAATAATTATCACTTAGCCACTTATTGTCATCTCAGTCATCTATCGATCAGTGTTCTTTTTTTTTATTTTACCAATCGAGAATCTATTCATTGAATCACTTAAATTCTCTATGATAACAGGAGCAAAATGTGCCTTTTCACAAGCTTTGTTAATGTTAACTTATTGCTAAATGCTACTTCATATAACTTCGAGTGTTTTTTGTTTCAAAAAGAATCCTCTTCGTCAACTTCCACTAAGCTTATCAATAATGAAGTTCTATAGGTTTAATCAAGCTGACTGATTCTCTGTTGTCACTTGCTTCAAGTGTGTCCATTTCTGCTGATTTTCTTTTTATACTCCCGATTGTCCTCTACAAAGGTTTCTATATTACTGGCTTCTTCTGAGTCTTATACTAAAACAAAAATATCCTTCAAATTGAATATAAATTTTCCTTAGAAAACAATCTCCTTCCTTCATTTTATTATAAATTAACCAATAATTGGCAATGTTTTCAGAAAAAAATGTCATTTACATTTCATATAATCACAAACCAGTGTGGCTGTGTTCAGAATAGTTGTATATCATTGATACATTATTCATTCAAGATTTGACTACTTACTTACTTACGCCTGTTAACCCTCGTGGAGGAGAATAGGCCGCTCACCAGTATTCTCCATCCAACCCTGTCCTGGGCAATTCTTTCCAGTTGTTATTTATCCTTTCCATATCTGCTTCAATCTCCCGGTGTAATGTGTTTTTGGCCTTCCTCTTTTCTGCTTCCCTTCACCATTCCAAGTTAGGGATTGCCTCGTGATACACTTTGGTGATTTCCTCAGTGTATGTCCTATCCACTTCCAACGTCTTTTCTTAATTTCTTCTTCATCTGGAAGCTGGTTTATCCTCTCCCATAAAATGCTGTTGTTGATAGTATACGGCCAGTGAATGTTGAGTATTTTGCGTAAACAATTGTTTATAAATACTTTTACCTTCTTGACGATGGATGCAGTAGTTCTCCACGTTTCAGCTCCGTACAGTAAGACTGTCTTGACGTTCGTATTGAAGATTATCACTTTGAAGTTAGTCGACAGTTGTTTTGAGTTTTATATGTTCTTCAATTGTAGGAATGCTGTCCTTGCTTTGCCAATCCTTGCCTTTACATCTGCATCAGATCTTCCATGTTCATCAACGATGCTTCCCAGGTACTTGAATGTTTCCACGTCTTCCAGAGTTTCTCCACCAAGTGTGATTGTGTTGGTGTTCTCCGTGTTGAATTTGCGGATCTTGCGTTTTCCTTTGTGTATATTGAGGCCTCAATATTCGATTAGATAATATTAATTAAGAATCAAGATTAACTTGATTCATTGCACTAATCATATTTCATAAAATAGCTATTTACAAAATTAATTTTTGTGTTATCTAACTTATAGTTACTAATGTGACAATTAATTTAAGGCTAGCATATCTAGCATATCTAACTAAAAGTATATATAATTATTCTACTATTGCATAATAGATAATTTGTCAATATTCATAGAATTGGTTTTCCTCTTGCTTGCTCACTTCAACTTTTCTATTTAATAGTTGTTTCTCATGTTCTAACTCATTACATTTATTGTTTAAATTGGAATAAATTTCATTCTTTTCATTAGTTTCTTTAATTTTCTCATCAAGTTTTACTTGAAGTATTGATAACAAATGAGATACCTTTGTTTAGAAGAAAGAAAGAGGTAAAGAGAGGTAAATATTAAAAGGAGACGGATATAAAATAGTTATGAAGTATTTATTTGTATAATTTATCTATCAAATAATCAAATATTGACAAACACAAATCAATAAAAAGATTGTGTGACCTTAGAGATAGTCGACAGGAAACCCTGGACCTAGTTTTCGTGCTACTTGGCACTCGTCAACATAGTGTACATGTAATCTTGAGGAAACTGATGCTCCCTGACCGATTCGATCCCATGTTATTCCACTTCAAAACGAGAGACGTTACTACTGAGCTATCCAAGACCCGACTGACCTCCTGTAGGACTGAGATGTATTTGCAAATGATTGTTTACTGTATCATATGTGTCAGGTCCTTCTTAGTGCAGATCCAATTCTATTGACAACATTCCCTCACGATTACAAGTAAGCCTTGCTGACGAGTGCAGAATAGCATGAAACCTAGTTCCAGGGTTTCCTGTCGATTACCTCCAACCACCATTTCATCTCAACATAGTGCACACACATCGCAACGTGGTTGATAGGATTCGATCTGCAATAAAATGGATCTAACATACATGACATTGATCACTACCCAGTGATCAATCAATTTTAAGTGATTGGATGACCATTTATAACTAGGTTTAAACCAATCTAGATTTTAGCACATAACCAAAAAGAAAGTTAACAGAATGTTTTTTTAATGTAGCCATGTTGCTAATAACTGAACAACGATTAAATCTTCCTTTACCAATTGTTCAATGTATTTTAGCAAGTCAGAGTTCAATATTATCTCCAATTCATAAAAAATAAGTTTAAGGTTTTACTACAATATGTATACTCAGATACAATCAAGCTGCTAGGATGAGATAATATGCAAGATCATGTTTTAATCCAGTGTTATAACTATTCAGCATATCTGCAACTAAATGATCACTGAATAGTGTCAAATATCACTACTTATTGAGCAACAAAACTATAAATCTCTCAGTCTTAAACGATTGTTTGGATCCAAGGAGCATTAGTTCCTTCAAGATTACATGAACATCTTACTGACGAGTACTAAATAGCATGAAACATAGGTCCAAAGTCTCCTGTCGACTATGTTTAAACACCTAAGATTCAGTATATCGTTTGTTTTATTCTTAATACAGTTTATAGTCAATTAGATCGGACGATGATGTTGTCGACGGGCTCACCAATTTAGTGGCCCTAAATCTGACCCTATTAAGATAGTATGAATGATTGTTATTGAATGATTCATCCCGCCAATCCTCGTGTATAATCATGGACTTAAATCGCGTTAGTGAATGACGGAATTAAATAAGTCAAATATGAGAATGGATTTTTGAATACCTATATTTCGTACAGTCGTTGATCGGATAGCAAAGCAAGAAAAGTGACGCGCAATGGAGAAGCCAAGTTAGCCGACTCGTCTTAATCAGGCGGGATTCGATACTTATAGTCAGATAAAAAGAAGTTACAGACATGTGATGACTAAGATAAGGAATACACACACGCTTACATAAAAACAGTCAAGGTTGATAAGTGAGTAGTTAACAAGGTCAAATGTGACTCAAGTAGAATGAATAAATTGGCCTGTCCGGAGGCTAGAATAAGCTATGTGGGCTTGAAATAGCGACTGAGACTACAGCTTCATTAAATATATAATACAGGTTTTTGAGTGGATTCTCATTGTTTCAATCATATTGTATCATAGACATTAAGCAAGTTACTGATTAAATAGTCTTTTATGTGAACATCCAAAAGCAAGAAGTTTGAATCATAGGCAATCTGAAATATTACACAGAGATGTTTGAGTACAGAAATATCTATTGGCTAAAACTTAAACAAGTCGCACAACAAATCTGGAATCTTAACTAACACATTACAGTATTATATGAAATAAAAAATATCGAATGGCAGTTTTAAACATGTAAAACTTTCAATTTTTCTGTGGTTATGGAGGGGAACGGAGGAACTAACTTATGTTTATAAACAGGAGTCTTTATTAATAAACTTTGATAAGTTAGAATTCGGATCGAAACTAAAAGATGCTTACTTATGTGGTGTAGTGTAAATCAAAACAAGCAAAATAATCACTGATTACAATGCGTTAGCAGAAATATGCAAATTAAGGCACTCTTCTTACTGATAAGGTAACATTATTAACTTCAATGATTATGTACTCAATTTTTGGTTTCGTTAATAAATAGCACACATTACTATCTTGACTAAAACAGTCTCGGCATTTGATGTGTGACCCACCTGGAGTAGTGTTAGTGTGAATATAGCCCTTTACTATAAATCATTGTTCAACTCTGACTTGAATAGTCGTTACACACATGAAGTATCCAATATTTACTTTCTCTTCTACCTAAACATTAAATTTAAACATCCAAGCATTTGAGTAAGTACTCATCGGCATGTTTATCTTATAACACATAGAAATACATAAAGGTCCTTTTTTCATTGAAGTGATGAATTAGTCAATATTAGACCAACATTGAAAACCTGGAAGCACTGAACAACCGTTTCATCCTAGTACAGGATTCCCTGAAAGTGTACACCCAGGACCCTATATGCAGAATTCCAGTCCAGAACCTTAGGTCTCGCGAGGGAATGCTTAACTTCCAGAAAAGTGGGTTGACATTCAACGGTCCTTGGCTAGATTCCCGTGTATAGTGTCGTGGGTGTGCACTACTGAGGACCCATATTTTGGAACGAAAAGGCCGTCCAGTGCTTCCAGGTTTTCAGTGGTAGTCTAACTTAGACCAGTTCATGATTCCACTGAAATTCAAAGATCTCCACAAAATATTACTAAGAATTCATTTTTTTGTCATATAGATAAGTGACTATTCAAAATTTTCTAAACGAAATCTATAACTTCAAAAATCTTTCAGTAACTCACCTTTAATATGGCTGAACTACGAGTACTTAATAAAATTTGTTCTTTTTCTAACTTTGATTGTTCATCAGTTAAGTGATAAAATTCTGTCAACAAATCAACATTTTCTCTACTTATCTCAGCTATAGCCACAGAAAGTTTCACTAACTGATCTTCAATAGAAACGTTTTCAGCAAGCATACGTTTTATAGTTGGTTCTGTTCGTTGAAATGAAACGGAACGAAATTCAGAGGCAACCTAAGAAATATTAAGTTAAACAAATAATAATGAGCAAGATCATGGATTGATTGAAGCCAGACATTAACACTGTTGGATGCCAGCTTAGTGGTCTAAAGGTTAAGCGTTCAGGCTCAGGACCAGAGGTCCTGGGTTCGAGTCTCGTGTGTGGGATCATGGGTGCACTGCTGAGGAGTCCCGCGCTGATACGAAAGGGTCATCCCGTGCTTTCAGGTTTTCAATTTTGATCTGACTTAGGTCGACTCATGGGCTCAACTTTGAAAACAATAAGTTGTTAAAAAACTATTTACTAGCATAATGAATATTTACGCTTTAAAGTAATTACGTTCGCACAATTTAAATGTATGAATGAATAAGTTAACCTTTAATTATCTAAAGTTGTTTTAATATAAATATATATTGCAATGTACAGTGTAATTGATTGTACTTGAAATATTCACAGGTACGTTAATGGTACATTGGTGCTTTTAGATGTTTAAACATTAATCTGAATTCGGTTGATGTTCAATTGAAAACAAGTGGCAAACCGTTCAAATCAATCATATCAATGAATATCGTGAAAGCAAAGTCGCCCCCAGCCGACCAACACTAATATTATACTGGTCAAAGTCACCAAAAATGTCGCAACATGATTGCCAAAGAACAAAATCCAATCAATAAAGGATACATAAAACCTATTCAATAATTTATTAATCTACAAAATTATTTCTTGATGTAATTGTGAAAATGATAGAGAACTAGTTATAAGAAGCAAAAGAAGTTCCTAACTATTTTTCACAAACTGACGATCCTTCGTCAACCTTTATTTCTAAAAGGATTTAAATAGATTAATTGAATGTGGTTTTATTTTCAAGTGAAAACGATAAAATATGGGAACGGCCACAATCATCACAACAATATTTTTGAACACAAAATGTTTTGTACTCATTAGTAGTATGAACATTTTTCATTAAGTTACATCAGTTGTAATTAGTTTACATTAAATAGTTCAATAACAAAAGAATTAACATAGATAACTAAATGGAACGCAGTTGTTAAAACAAATTTGTGGCCAGATACACTAGAGTGATTGGTGAGATGAGATAGTGCCCAATAAAGCCCACACCAAATGTAGAACAATCAAGAGAGATGGTTAGATTCACTTGCTTTATTCGTGCTGTTTTATATAAAACACTCAATAAGTCAATAAACTGACCAGAAAGAAATCTTTACATACGAATACACAACAGCATAGTTATATTCAATTAACTGAAGGCAGTCCTGATGTCGAAAATACATAATTATTGATCTGCGATACGTGTGACAGTGTTCAAGTAGTTAAAGGAAGGTAAAAATTTAATCAGTTCACCCGCAACTAGAACAGAAACTGGTCTGCTACTTGTGAGTCAGTCTTTAATGTGTTCAGTATAATCTATGAAATCTGACCAGAACAAATAAGAACTATTAGATTTTCAACAAAGAAATTGTAACTTATTAGGAGTAAAGTTACTTAAATATTTAATTTAGACCAAAACGTGATTGAAACAAGCAATATTGTTTCTTATGCAACTTTGACTGAGATGGTAAGCAGAGATGGATAATGGCTAGCAGTGGAATACAGGACGCGTTTCTTCCTATTTTCGACTCGTCAGCTGGATGTACCTGCATGAGTTGATATTCACTCCGGGACTCGAACCCAGTACCGTTCACTTCAAACGCCATCGCTTTATCCACTCAGGCACTGAGTCCTGATAGCCACTTGCTTGTGCAGTGGAGTGATTCAAACATACAATACGAAGTGAATTTTTCACTAAGATGTTTACTTAATTATTAAATAAATAGTTCTCGAACACTCTGTGAGTATTATAATATTCAGTTATTCATAACAAAAACTGGTTCTTTTGGCAGAAAGTATGTATGAAGATTTTTCGAATATACAAATATTCACATCGTCTAATTTAACCATGGTTAAACAAACTCCCTTTCTTAACAATTAGAAATAAGAAAAGAATTTACCTCATTAATTTTTAATTTAGTAACTTTTTTCAATCGTCCCCTATAAGCTACATCACTTTCTGATAAATTTTCCATAGCTAACTTATGTTCATTTTTTATCTGATCGAGAGTAGATTCTAAATTATGATAATGTATCCAAAGGGCTTCACGATTTAAACGAAATTCTTCAAGTGAGGCTAATTCATTAGCTATTCCAGAAAAAGAGAAATAATAGAGTTTTATAAAATCCAAATTATTATAGTATGAATTGATTTAGGAAGAAGAAAAACGTTAAGTCACCCATAATCTGTCATGTCTCTATACTATAGGTGTATACTATTCATGTAATGAACAAACATACAGGTGGGACAACCAATGTATTTTCGAAACAAAATCTTGATAAAATATAAGAACCATACATTAAATACTTCATTTTTTTAATTTCCGAAATTTGTCTTCCACATTCTGTATGATTCGTTGGATTCATAATTCCATTCAAGTTCCATTCCTGTTCTCATCAAGCCAACATTCATAGCCTTCTGCTGTCAAGCTTCCCACTTCCGATTGGTGTTATATACTAGGTATGTCTGTAGCATACACGATATATATATATATATATATATATATATATATATATATATCTTTAACAATCAAATCTATAAGAAAATAGATTTCTACAGGAACTTGTCAAGAGTTCTCATTGCTACTATAAATCTGTTAGCAGTTGACAACTGTTTCTTTCTAGTTTGATACACTTTGGCAACGCGCGAACATGACTAATCGAAGAAAGTAATAGTCGATTGTTGCATCTCACTCAGACCACTATACTATTCGACTAATGGTTAGATTCTTAGTGGTTCACACTTTTAGCTACCTAACAATTAAAACTCGAGTTCGTTAGTGAGTAAATGCTCATTTATGACATTATCGATTCAAGACATTCGATACGTACGTCCTTAAACAAAGGATTTATCTCACTGTATTATACTCCTTCAATGACATCTTCAAACCCTTATCTTTCCGATTACTGCTTATACTCTTCCTACTTCTACCAATATGGGATTTGAATCGACAACTTCATCTCTGTGCTAATGTGGTATGGCAACTCGAACTGATGCACGTACGTACGAAGTTCTACGTTGTAACTGACTGACTGACTGACTGACTGACTGAAACAAAGGATTAACAAACTATGAAACCTTATTCAGTCAAAACATTATAATAATTCAATAAATTTTAAGTTGTTTCTCATCCTCGATTGATGTTAGATGAATAAGTGAACACTGGTTGGGCAACTTAAGCTGATATGAACCAACTATAACGTTTCAAAACATTTTATAAAAATCAATAACATATTAGTAAATTAGTGCTAATATTGGTAATACCTAAGAAACAATTATTTCATTTGTTTAAAACACATGAAATGAATATGTCTGCATTTGAGTAATTTTAGTGTACCTACTGAGTGTACTTCAAATGCGAATACCCCACTATATTACTGTTACTATTAAATTAGTGCTTTTTTCTTTCAATTACAATTTAGATAAGTTCAATAAATCAAAGTTTATCAGAACTATGTAATGTATTGGTCCAATGCATTATGAGTAACTTGAACATATCTCTACATTTTAAGACATCTATATATTGAGAAAATAATAATCAACTAGACAAATTGGAATATTAAAAAAGAATATAAAGACAACAACGAAAAAAGAAAATATAATCACAGTATTTAGGGCAATAAATCAACATAACCAGAGAAGGTTCAGTGTAAGCACAATCTGTTTTTGAACAAATAAGTAGAGGTAAAAACTTTGTTTAGTTAATACTATAACGAAACTTAAGTACTTGTCTTAGACATCATGAATACAATATTGCAAACTCTAAATTAAGATTAAACTTATCCCCTGTTGATTGATCACTGGATGGTGATCAATGGCATGCGTGTCAAGTCCATCTTTTAGTGCCGATCGAATGCTAACGATCAAGTTGTAATGTGGCCACCAGTCTAGGTGGCTCGACACTGCGTGCACTATGTTAATATAAGATGGTGGTTGGAGGTAGTCAACAGGAAACCCTGGACCCGGGTTTCGTGCTATTTGCCACTCGTCAGCAGGGTGTACCTGTAATCTTGAGGGAACAGGTGTTCTCTGACGGACTCGATCCCGTGTCACTCAGCTTCACAGTCAGAGACGTTACCACTGAGCTACTCGGGCCGCGACCGACCTCCTGCAGGACTGAGATGCAATCACAATTGATTGATCACTGGATGGTGATCAATGTCATGCGTGTCAAGTCCTGCTTTTAGTGCTGATCGAATGCTATCGATCAATTTGCAAACTTATTCCCTGTTTCAACTGAAGAAGAAGGATAGTTGTTATCTGCTCTTATAAGTTATTTGAATCTATTTGTTTTTGTAACCATTTCGATACCTTAACTTCCAAAACAACATAAAGCATTTTCCTACCGATTGCTAAATTTTCTGCCATCATTCTTTCTTCAGTAGATTTTTTTAACATTTCTAATTCATTTTCTCTAGCTCTCCATTTATCAAGATTTGTTCTAAAAACACGTTGCATAGCTTGTATACGTTCAGTCAAATCAGCCGCTTCATTGATTCTTTCATGATATTTCTGATTCAATGTTCTAAAATGATCTTGACATTCGAAATCACTAGTATGATACTACAAAATGGTAATATGATAAGAATTTAGAAAATAATAATTGAATAGTTAAAGTGTATTATTATTAAATGAATTGAAATTAATAGACTCATTGGTAAAAAACACTAAAATATTAGATAGGCAAATATTTAACCCGAAATCAATGTTTTTAAATAGCGGGTTTTATCACAACATCCTATTTAAGAGATTAAAGACAATACAATGGCAGTGTCAAAACAATATGAATCTGAGATGCTTGTTATATATTTATAGTCTTCAAACAATAATGTACAGAGCTAATGTAAACTGCTAAGCATCAGTTCATTTGCAAAAGTAAAAAGTTGTATCCAATTCGATCACCTGGGAAAACAGTGATCACAAATATCAAATGACATCTCATTCGATACGCCCGAATTTCTATGAGGTAGAAATTCCAGTTATTTGATAAACTCTACCATAGTTCCACAACATCTAGAATTGGAATGGGTTTATTAATTTAGATATTATTTTAAAGTTCACACTTAAGCATAAAAGCTATCTAATAGAAAGCGCTGATCATAAAGTGTACTAAGAGAAAAGTTTCAATCTTGATAGGTTGAGGAACAAAAGGTTATCAGCAGTTGTGCAAAAAGTTAATCCATAATTTAATAATCTGAACCCTCTCCATAGTCCAATTGAAGAGATAATGTTATTTTATTATTACTACTGATTAATATCATAATTATTTGAAGAAGCTTTTGATTATAAATCGAGCGTTTGATTTAACGTTTTAGAGATTTCGTGACATATCGAGCCCGTGAAGGATCAGTAGTTAATGCCACGAACAATTATAATATTGCTATAATTTAATTCACATTTCACTAGACCACTCGTTCAAAGTTTACATTTGACTAACTGACTAATCAATAACACACAAGGTAATGTGAAACTGGTCAAGATCAATATTTTTCAGGATGATAATAATTACAACAATACTGATAATGAACTTTTGTTAGACATGGTGACAGTGAAGTAGAATAAAGAAATGTATTAAAAAAAATTCATTTTTAAAAACAAGGAAAACTTCGTGGATTGATTGGAGTTAGACATTAACACTGTTGAATGCCGGCTCAGTAGTCTAATGGTTAAGCGCTATCACGCGAGACTGATGGGTCCTGGGTTCGAATCTCGCTAGGCAGGACCATGGATGCGCATTGCTGAGGAGTCCCACAATAAGAAGAAACAGTCGTTCAGTGCTTCCAGGTTTTCCTTAGTGGTCTAGCTTCAATTGGCTCACACTTTCAACTATGAAAACTTAGTACTCGTTTGATTGTTAATGGCTTAAATATTCATTAATAGTTAGATAGGGAAACAATCATCAATGGGAAAGGGTGGCTCAGCATGACAAGATAAACTGTTGAAATTGAGATTAAATATAATCAGTAAACATTTTAACTGATCAGAAATTATCTTCTACAAGAATAAGGTTACCTTTGTCATAATTTTTTCATTTTGCATGGATAATTCTTTAATATAATTTTCATATGCATTCACTTGCATTTCTAATTGTTTAATTAGAAACAAATAATAATCACGACCAAATGATTGAATTGTTACATCATCTAATTCATCGATACTTTGTAGTAAATCATTGTTTAAAATCAATTGATTGTTTGACTTTCTACTAGAACTACTTAATTTTTGTGAACTTTTACGTTGACTACGACTGCCTGATGATTTATTCTCTTTAGGCGGCTAGAAAAGATAAAACAGAAGTAACGCTGAAATACATCATTTAGAGAATAAGTAGAAAATCGAATAGAAATGACAATATCGACAGTAGTACGGTAAGTGATTGTGAATGATAGTGGTAATACAGTTAACTGTTACAGATATTGAAAAACCTACTGAATCTAACTATTGAGCAACTATGAATTGGTGTTGAAATAGAAAAATAAACCAAATGTTTAGCTGAGTAGGTAATAGAGTGCTTGCTACAAAGTTGGAATAATTTGTTCAATGATATTATTTGATAACAGTCAGAAATACGGTGAAATAGCTGTCTGCCTTATCAACTATTTCAGTAATAATGTAATTAATATGTCAATTAGAGAATACAATTGATTTTGTCGCAAAAATTAAGAATTTTTAAACAGTCGGTTGTTATGAAATCAGATTCTCAGCAAAAAGAAGAACATATAGAAACTACAGCAGACTGAAATGTGTTATCAGTCGGCATCCAAAAAACCTTTTAGAATCAAATCCAAAAATTAGAGTCAGTGATAAACAAATCAGCTTTGAAACTATTGAGTATTTAAATAAGTATTTGCAAATGATTAGACCAATAACCTTTTTTAAAGGTATCAATCAATAGTAATCGTTACCGGACATAAATAAACCTGGATTTCTTTATGAAAAAGATGAACATTAGATTTTCAATAACTTAGAATTTGAACCACTATTCGTTCTATTATGCCTGTGGATATGATAACTGAACCATTAATTGACTATCATCTATATTTATAGACTATTGTAACATTCCCATTACATTCTACGTTTGGCAAACTTACTGGAGCCATAATTCATTGGAATTATGAATTATCTATAATTGTGGATTTTTGGGACCAAGCGCAACGGAACACTCAACAGCTAGCTGATTTATGTAACGTCCCTAAACTTTTATTTGTATTAATAACGTATAAGTTGTTTATTGTTACATTAACTCTTTGGCCGTAATAACTTTATTGCTGTTTTTAGTTAATATACTTTTTGGTCCACCACAATTATCTGGTGAGCCTCGTGTTTATCCTGGTTCTTATACTGTTTATTTATTTTACACGATACACTAGTTTATTATTATTGTAATGTACTCTCCAACCGAACTTATTGATATGGATCCTCCTTCAGAAACCAATCCTAGTTCGGTGCCAAACTCTACTGAAAACAAGTTCAGTTAATACTATCTCAGAATTCAGACTCCCAACGTATGGAGCTAATAATCCAAGAGTCTGGTTTGCCCAAATAGAAGCTTTGTTCATGGCTAGAGGCAACAAAGTACGAATATGTAGTCGGTGCAATTCCAATTGAGATTGCCGCTGAAGTTGGGGACTTAATCGACCACGTGTCTGAATCGGAACCATATGATAAGATAAAGGCAGATGTAATTCAACGAATCTCGGTCTCTGATGAGAAAAGACTGCAACAATTGCTAACGTCTTGTGTCTTGGGAGACGAGACCCTCCCAACTTATCCGCCACATGAAACAACTTGCCGGTTCATACAAACTGAACGAAGCCCCACTAAAACAAATGTGGTTTCAAAGATTACCACATAGCGTTAGACAGATTCTAAGTGTCCCCCAAATGCCCTGGTACGGCCGAGATTGGGGAGAGTCACCTCTCCCTCTCGAAATACTCTCATATGGCCAGCGAATATATAGCCTCTGACAGGGAAGTCCTACTCACTGCCTTCTCGTGGCGGGGGTGTTCTTTACGAAATTGAGAGGACGAAAAGCGAATGTCCGACGCTTTAACCGGGTCGGTGGACACGGCGAGTCCACCTAGGGGAGTTGGAAAACCCTGATTCCAAACCAATGGTGCACATGGGCTCCAGGATCCTGAAAGAACGAATGGCGTACGAATCAATCGTTGATCACCGGCTACCATGGGACTGCATCTCCTCACGATGCTCCACTGCCTTGTGGATCAGATCTTTCAGTCAAAGGCTCCGGGTGTGGTCCCCTAAGAAAACCACCTGCTTCAGTTCGGGCACCTAGGCAGTATCACAGCCCTCAAGCAAATCGAATGAGATTTGTATGGCGCATATGTATCTGGTGCTTCCTTGTACCAATATTTATGTGTTTAAATAAATAAATAAAAAGTGTCTCAGGGAAATCCGTCGCACTTGATGATTTAGCCGACATGGCAGATAAAATGATGGATGTCTACCATGATAGTCACTGTATCAACTCTTTGCAACCAGCCGATATCAGTGGTTTAGCCTCCTTCCAAAGACAGTTAACGCGATTAACAAGTCAGCTAGCCTCACTGCAGACGACCATAGCAACCGTACAAGCTAGACAACTTAGAAATACGTTCATCTTAGTAGTGGAAAAAATGAATGATGCTCGTTCGTTGAGTATGATTGCTGGCGTTTTTATGCTTAAAATACTCTGATTTGTTATCTATCTCATCCAAAACAAATAGATAATCCAATCACAGGAAATAAGAAGAGCTATACTAACAAAAAGTAATACTAATAACACCATACGCCGTTGATAACTTTATAAAACGTTGTACAAGGAAAAGGCAAAGCGAATAATTCTAGCCACATCTTTTGGGTAACTAGATAACTTGTAGAAACTATCTAATCCCTATGTCCAGGGTATCCTGTCAACTACCGACAGTCACCTTCTTACATTGAAAAAATCTGCACACAGAAATCAATATAAAAGAAATTAAGGCGCATGTTCCCTAAACTTCAGAGTGATATCGTCGAATCCCATTAGAAGTCACTTGATAAAGCGAATGAGTTTGACTTTATACGATATTCTAAGGATGTCAAACCAAAATAGTAATCTCAGATGTAAGCCAGCCAAATTAAAGATAACACAAAAAAGCTGATTTCAAAGTTTCAGTAACTATGATAAAAACATTGATCAACGTCCCATTGTTACGTAAATACCATTCGCCAGAAAAACCATCAACCCAATTGTTATTTTAACTTCAACATAACACTAACAAAAGTCGACTTCAATAAAAATTAACTCCAATCCAATCTATCAGCTAATATTAAAGCAAATCTATTTAAATTTCAAACTAACCTAATTATTTTCATGTTAATTAACAACCTATATGTTTTGAAACGTATTCTAACTTGTTAATCAGGCAACAATAGCAAAGTATCTTATGTTTTATTTCGATAATGCGGTCGGAACAGATAAAAGTAACAAGAAACGTGGTTTCCAATCAAGTTAAATAAATGATCAGAAGGGGTATTGTGGAGATCTAGTATTTTCATAGTTAAAAGCGTGAGTCAATTGAAGTTGGACCACCAGGGAAAATCTGGAAACACTGGACGGCCGTTTTATCCTATTATGGGACTCCTCGGCAGTGTGCATCCACGATCCCGCACTCGCGAGATTCGAACCCAAGACCTACCAGTCTCGAGTCAGAGCCATTAAGCGATAGAACACTGAGCCGGCATCCAATGGTGTTAATGTCTAACTTCAACTGATCCACGAAGTTGAGCAACCGTTCACCAATTGTGCGGGATCGCGGATGCGCACTGCTGAGGAGTCCCACAATAGGACGAAACGGCAGTCCAGTGTTTCCATGGTGGTCCAGCTTCGATTGAATCACGCTTTCAACTATTAAATAAATGAAGCAAGCCATAAAATGTCACCACATCATTTCGTGGGGGGCGATACTGTAAAGAACGAGGACTTGGTAAGAGTAAACCAGGTTACTGTACTTTGCAAAATTATACACTGCATTTGTAAAATATGAAAATAATGTACTGGATACACCGATTGCACATCATTCTTTAATTGTCTCTTACAAGCTTCATAGTTCTCACGTTCATGTTGCTAATCCGACTCCTTTCGTCTTTCTTTCTCTTCTCCTCAGTTACCTCTTCTATATGAATTCTACTCCCAGTACCTGATAATTACTACTTATATCTGTCCGTATACGTAACACAAACCACAACACGATAAATTAGAATTAGACGTGATAGTTAGGATTTCATTTACTATAGAGTGAGAAAACTCTATAATTCATATTATTTATGATATGCAATCATGTTACTGTCCTAATACTCTGTATTTGATCATGTTAGTTTATTACATAAAAACCTATTCTGATTTGTAAACCATTTCAGAGTTCACGACATTAACAGTCTCGTGAGTACCTATTAGTTGGTTACTTCTTATTATTGCATTTATCTAACTAATAGCACTGTTTTTTATCATCTTGACAATCAAGAATCTAAAGCAATTAGTCCTTTTTATCAATTTTGATAGAATCATGAAAAAAAACACAGTTGATATGAAAAATGTGACGTATAGAGTAAATATATCACAGTTTTTTCAGATCAACTCTATCTTTTCATTCTTCTATCAAAATGAACAATCCGTCCATCAAATCTTAATTCAAATTATATATTCTTCACACTTCTACCAGTATAATATTAACTAGCAATACAATTGAACATGAATGCCAATCTATTCGTCAAAAATTAAAACAAATCTAGTTTAATATAAAACTAATGATAAACTAAATCAATCTAGTCATCTTTATATTTGACTAACAAATGTGTATGAATATTGAAAGTTAAAAAGACAAACAACATGGATTAAAAGTAAAGTAATTTTCATTAACCTATTGTACAAACAAACAAAAAAAAAAGATAATTACATAACAGATAAAATCACAATGGATCTAAAATTTAAAAATAAAAAAATACAAACATGCAAATATTCAAATGATCCAAAATCTGATGATTATTATCTTCACAAAAAGAGTTACATCAGTAGTAATAAAACCAAATGAGAAAGAATAATAAAAGAAAAAAGGGAACAAACATAAAACTCACGAAATATATAAAAAGAAAGGAGAGAATATAACAATTAAAAGAAAGTAAAATAAACAATTTCACAATTGTCAAAGAATGCTTGATCTGTTCATGTATCTGTATTCCATACATCCTCCCATCCATTGCTATCAGTACCCTGAAAAGAAAATTCAAAAACAAATCAAAAATAAGAGGATAAAAACAAAATGAAACTCATAGGTCTATAAGAAAACAAAAAAGAACTATTTTGAAATCTTAGTTAAAACGGGAAAATTAAAAAGATTTTCTGGCAGGATCGTGGATGCTAAAGATAGGACGGATATTCCAGTTTAACAACTAGCAACCAGTAGTATCTTCTATATTCGATCGTTCCCGGCCAAAGGAAATCAGAAGTCAGACGAGAAGAGATAGGAAAAATATACTTGATACGTTACCAATATATCGAGAGGCGTTCGTTATTAACTGACTATTGAAACGTAGGAGCTGTGTCCCACGCCGAGTTGCCAAGTGATCTGGTACGGGTGCATGACTGAAAGCCTTCAGTTAAACAAGTCCACTTAAACAACGTGGTCAGCATCCAATGTCGAACACTTAATGAGCTATTGATTTTGGGGAATTATTTACAGCTACAGATCACTACCCCCCCCTAGTGAGGTAGTGATGCCCCTAAGACGTGACCAGCCAGAAGTTTAAACCCAACGAGTTTGTCGTTGGTAAACACTCTTCTGATAGCTTGCTTCGTTTAGCAGCGTCTGGTCGTCTTTCCTTAAACTAAAGGACCATGATGTACAACATAACAATAAAGAAATAAAATACAATGAAAATTTCGGTTCCTTGGGAAACTTCGTCGTTCTTTTCCAGCCGTCCTGGAAAAGAGAAAAAATAGAACGTGTGAGTGCATGTCGAAAATACACTCGTACTTGCGTAAGGACACAAGATGAGCGGAAAAAAATAAACTAATACACTTGCAACAGCGTAAAAGCAATCGAAAAAAAGGTTTATTTTGTTTGTTTTTTAAATAAATAACAAAATGAGCATATTAAAAATTTTTTTATAATAAACAATGAAAGGAGAATTCAAGATACAGCTTGTGTCCTACGTGCAATATTCGTTAAGATGTTTTGGAAATCTTACTCTTCTTCCAGAACGCGTTGTTTTAGGTTTATCTATCGACGTTGACGAAGTATCCAGTTGTGTGTCGGCTGTCGTGTAGGGTACAACGAGTATAGGAGTCGTGTCGTACGATTGTACCGAAGGAAGTTCGACGTAGCTAGGGTTTCCTTCTAAGTACGCTGCTTTTAGGCGATCGATACTGATGCTATCGTTCGTGCCGTTCTTATCGACTGCATAGTACTTGGGTTCGCGTTGAAGAACTTTGAAGGGTCCTTCGTATGCTGATTCGAGAGGTCGTCGATGTGAATCTTGACGAACGAAGACGTGTGTACTATGTCGTAATTCAGGTTGAACGAAAACATCAGTTGATTGAGGTCGAGTGTGAGCAGGTTTAACTGAATGCATAGCGTCTGTAAGCCTACTCGTTTAGGAGTTTAGATCCATATTCAATGAAGAAGCTGAAGGATCCACGAATTCTCCTGGGAGTCGGAGTGTCGTTCCGTAAACGAGTTGAGATGCAGTATATCCAATGTCAGCTTTCACTGCATTGCGGATACCTAGCAAGACGAGTGGAAGAGCGTCTGTCCACTGTGAAACGTTTGCGGCTGATAATGAAGCTTTAAGTTGTCTATGAAAACGTTCTACCAACCCATTTGCTTGTGGGTGGTAGGCGGTCGTTCGGAAGCGCGTGATTCTTAATAATGAGGTCAGGCAACGGAAAAGTCCAGATTCGAACTGGCGTCCGCGGTCTGTAGTGATCGTGGAAGGGCAGCCGAAATTTGCTACCCATCGTTAGACGAAAGCGCGGGCCACAGTTTCAGCAGTAATGTCCTTAATCGGTACTACTTCTGGCCATCGAGTGAAACGGTCTACGCATGTTAAGATATATGAGTATCCGTTTGAGTCGGGTAAGGGTCCTACCAAATCTAGATGGACGTGGTCGAAACGAGCGTCAGGGGTTTTGAAAGAGCCTAAGGGACATTTGTTGTGTCTTACGACCTTAGATTTCTGACAGCTTACATAGGAGCGTGCCCACTCCCTCACGTCTTTATTCATGCCAGGCCAGCGAAACCGTTCGGCTATAAGTTTGACTGTTGCACGAGAACCTGGGTGAGAAAGATTGTGCAACGTATTGAAGACGTTGCGTCGATAATATTTTGGTACTATTGGACGATCCCTACCTGTAGATGTGTCGCAAAGTAAGGTTTCCTTACCTGTTCCCATCTGCTTAATACTTAGTTTAAGAGTTGTCGAGGATAGCTCATGCTGAAGATCAATGTCTTCTTTTTGAAGCTGAGCAAGTTTAAGAAGGTCGATTCCTTGGAAACTGTTCAAGGAACTTATTCGGGACAAGGCGTCTGCGACTACATTGTTAGCTCCAGAAATGTGTTGTATGTCTGAAGTAAACTGCGAAATGTAGTCGAGTTGTCGAGACTCTCGCGGTGAGTACTTGTCTGAAGATGAACTTAAAGAGGTTTTTGATCGGTAAAAAGTGTGAATTCTCTTCCTTCGATGGAATGTTGGAAATGCCGTACAGCACAATACATAGCTAGGAGTTCCCTACCGAACGTGCTGTACCTAGAATCCGCGTCTAGCAACCGTCTCGAGAAAAACCCTAAAGGTTGCCACGAGTTGTTAACCCATTGTTGTAAGACTCCTCCGATTGCTTAGTCGGATGCGTCTACGGTGATACTAATGGGCGCTTGAGTGTCCTGATGAGCAAGCAGGGTTGCCTTAGCTATGTGTTCCTTAACTGTGGAGAATGCTTTACGGGCTATGTCGTCCAAACTAATTGATTTTGCATTTCGACGAAGTTGGTCGGTTAACGGTTTCATAAGGGATGCGCATTTGGGTATGAACCGTCTGTAGAAACTTACAAGTCCGTTGAAAGTTCGTAACTGCTTGATCGTGGTCGGTTCTGGGTAATCCAGAATGGCCGCCACTTTGCTTCTAAGGGGTCGGATGCCTTGGGCATCAATAGTGTGTGCTAAGAAGTCTAAGGAGTTGGTTCCGATTTGGCATTTCTGATTGTTTACAGTAATGCCATGCCTTTGGAGTCGATCGAAAACAATGTCCAGATGCTTGAGATGTGATTCTCCGTCCGGATTTGCTATGTGACAATCATCAACACAGGCATGTACGAAGTTGAGACCTCGGAAGACGTCGTCTATAAACCTTTGGAATGTTTGAGCAGAATTTCATAAACCAAAAGGCTTTCGCAAAAATTCGTAAAGACCGAAAGGAGTGATAATGGCGGTTTTAGGAACGTCGTCAGGTGCGGGAGGTTTGTAACCAAATACCGACAGTACATGACGACGTTCCTAAAACCGCCATCATCAATCCTTTCGGTCTTTACGAATTTTTGCGAAAGCCTTTTGGTTTATGAAATTCTGCTCAAACATTCCAAAGGTTTATAGACGACGTCTTCCGAGGTCTCAACTTCGTACATGTGTATGTTGATGGCTGTCTAATAGCAAGTCCGGACAAAGAATCACATCTCAAGCATCTGGACATTGTTTTCGATCGACTCCAAAGGCATGGCATTACTGTAAACAATCAGAAATGCCAAATCGGAACCAACTCCTTAGACTTCTTAGCACACACTATTGATGCCCAAGGCATCCGACCCCTTAGAAGCAAAGTGGCGGCCATTCTGGATTACCCAGAACCGACCACGATCAAGCAGTTACGAACTTTCAACGGACTTGTAAGTTTCTACAGACGGTTCATACCCAAATGCGCATCCCTTATGAAACCGTTAACCGACCAACTTCGTCGAAATGCAAAATCAATTAGTTTGGACGACATAGCCCGTAAAGCATTCTCCACAGTTAAGGAACACATAGCTAAGGCAACCCTGCTTGCTCATCAGGACACTCAAGCGCCCATTAGTATCACCGTAGACGCATCCGACTAAGCAATCGGAGGAGTCTTACAACAATGGGTTAACAACTCGTGGCAACCTTTAGGGTTTTTCTCGAGACGGTTGCTAGACGCGGATTCTAGGTACAGCACGTTCGGTAGGGAACTCCTAGCTATGTATTGTGCTGTACGGCATTTCCAACATTCCATCGAAGGAAGAGAATTCACACTTTTTACCGATCAAAAACCTCTTTAAGTTCATCTTCAGACAAGTACTCACCGCGAGAGTCTCGACAACTCGACTACATTTCGCAGTTTACTTCAGACATACAACACATTTCTGGAGCTAACAATGTAGTCGCAGACGCCTTGTCCCGAATAAGTTCCTTGAACAGTTTCCAAGGAATCGACCTTCTTAAACTTGCTCAGCTTCAAAAAGAAGACATTGATCTTCAGCATGAGCTATCCTCGACAACTCTTAAACTAAGTATTAAGCAGATGGGAACAGGTAAGGAAACCTTACTTTGCGACACATCTACAGGTAGGGATCGTCCAATAGTACCAAAATATTATCGACGCAACGTCTTCAATACGTTGCACAATCTTTCTCACCCAGGTTCTCGTGCAACAGTCAAACTTATAGCCGAACGGTTTCGCTGGCCTGGCATGAATAAAGACGTGAGGGAGTGGGCACGCTCCTATGTAAGCTGTCAGAAATCTAAGGTCGTAAGACACAACAAATGTCCCTTAGGCTCTTTCAAAACCCCTGACGCTCGTTTCGACCACGTCCATCTAGATTTGGTAGGACCCTTACCCGACTCAAACGGATACTCATATATCTTAACATGCGTAGACCGTTTCACTCGATGGCCAGAAGTAGTACCGATTAAGGACATTACTGCTGAAACTGTGGCCCGCGCTTTCGTCTAACGATGGGTAGCAAATTTCGGCTGCCCTTCCACGATCACTACAGACCGCGGACGCCAGTTCGAATCTGGACTTTTCCGTTGCCTGACCTCATTATTAAGAATCACGCGCTTCCGAACGACCGCCTACCACCCACAAGCAAATGGGTTGGTAGAACGTTTTCATAGACAACTTAAAGCTTCATTATCAGCCGCAAACGTTTCACAGTGGACAGACGCTCTTCCACTCGTCTTGCTAGGTATCCGCAATGCAGTG